AATAAAATCTTAAAAAGAAGCTTACAACAGGATTTTCAGCTTTTTAGGGTGGGTATTTTATATCGAGTATACCCACTGGTTCTTTTTTTTATTATTATTTGGAGAGTAAACTTTTATAATCCAAACAATCTTTTCCACTTATACACACACACACACACACACACACACACACACACAGAGGGTCTATATAAATTAAGTAGAATCCACAAAAGTACATCTTTTAACAGAAAAAATCTGTTACTTCATGATTTGTCACAAAGGACCATTACAATTCTGTGTCCGTGAGAATTTTGCCACCTTTATCCTTCACTCTTACTCTTCAGCCTCCTCCTTTATTAATTTCATCTCATGCTCTTTGTTCAATTTCTTTTCATGTTGTCTTTCTCCCTGCACCCTCATTAACACAGATGTTCTTAGTTAGCTGGGTGAAGATTACTCAGAAAGCCTTGGGCAGGTGGAAGCATGCACCCAGCTGTTGGACATAGCAGATATATCTAATCTTCTGAGAATACTGTGTACCAGAGCAGTTGGGTTCAGAGTGTACAACTAGTGCAAATCCTTTGCTAAGTATAATGATGCATGTATATATGCTAATAAACAGCTTGATGTGTCAAAAATACTCACTTCAACACCATAAAGGTTGAAATATGCCATACTGAATTTATAAAGAAAAATACTTAATTTTGTGAAAAGTTTTATACATAAGCAAGAAAAGAACAACTTTTGGATTTTTCCAAACCACATATTTAATCATGAATTACCAGCTTGATTCTTTTGACAGTATTTCATATGTACAAATTATAAATTTTTACCTTAGCTGATATCTGATAATAAAGTAACATATTTCAGAGGTGAAGCATTATTAAAAAAAACCTATGAAGAGTTTAAAAGTGAACATGACTATCTTTGGCCCTGCACCTGGCTCTTGGCTTCGGATCAGTGTGATACGCCGGCCGCAGTGCGCCCGCCATGGTGGCCATTGGAAGGTGAACCAATGGCAAAGGAAGACCTTTCTCACTGTCCACTCTGCCTGTCAAAAATACACCAGAAGATCATGAACAGAGAACATGACTGTTGGCATCCTATTACATTTGTTAGGAATGAAAATTTATTAAGTGTGTTAATAAAGTAAGCCTTATATTTATTGACTGGTTTGCAAAATAAGGGTTTTGGACTAACAAAATCATTGCCCTATAGTTTATTCTAAGCTTTTTATGTCTGTTAATTATTGAATTATCCTTTGAGAGAGGTATTGTTATGATCTCCATCTTTATAGTTGAGGCAACAAAAAACAGACAGGTAAAATAAATTATCCACAGTCACACAGCTTCTAAGTGAGTTACCTAGGTTTCTAACATAGGCAGACCACCTCTAGACAGCCTGTATTTTCCTCAACTTAGCCATCACAAATTGATTAAAAATTGAAAACAGTTCTTTTTCTTGAGGCATAGCCATTTGAGTGTCTGTGTTATCATCTGAAGAGACACTGGAGAAAAAAAATATTAAGCCTAATCATAAAGCCTACTTTCCCACCTGATCGCTAATGGCCATGTGACCTGACTATATCTAATAGAGCCGTAATAGTACTATATTAAGAACTCATTTATCGCTTAGTATATTTACCATGCTGTTGTTTACTGTACACCAAGCCCCCTGCTTTACATATTTACATACATTGTTCTTCCTTAATCTGAGGGAGAATCCTGCTCTGGGAGATTAAGGAACTTGCTCAAAGTCAAAACTAGTGGAGCTAAAAATCAAGCCAAGTCTTTCTACTTCCAGAATTTGTAAACTCCAATGAGGCCACGTGACACTTGTTTATCTGGTGGCATGGAACTAGACTAGGTATGCCTTGCCTGGCCTGTAGCTGTCCTAAGACATACACTGACCTTAGAGTTAGGATGCGAAAGGAAATATAAAAAGCAACTTAACAGTCTCTCGTCTTCGCTTCCCCTCAAAGGTCATTCCCCTTCCTTTGTTGATGTTAGTGTAGGGTTTTAGAGGTGCGTAATGACGCAGTCCTCTGATTACGTCAAATGCAGCGAGGAGGTAGTGGTTAGGTGCTTTGGAGGTAAAGGTGAACTTTGGATGCATGGTGAAAATTTGTACTGAGGCAAATTTTCCATGTATAAATTTCATTACCACAATTTTCCACCATCTATGGAAAGATGAAAAATCTAATTTATATGTTGAAAATTTTCCTTTTTTACCAATTGTTGCCTTTAGTTCTTATGCTTAATTCTTAAAAAAAATTCACGATGAACAGACTCTTTAAAAACTTTACCACAATATGTTGGTTTTCAAATAAGTTTCTAGCACAATTAATAACCAACAGAAGGCCGGCGCTGTGGCTCTCTAGGCTAATCCTCTGCCTGTGGCACCTGCACCCCGGGTTCTAGTCCCTGTTAGGGCACCGGATTCTGTCCCGGTTGCTCCTCTTCCAGTCCAGCTCTCTGCTGTGGCCTGGGAGTGCAGTGGAGAATGGCAAGTGCTTGGGCCCTGCACCTGCAGGGGAGACCAGGAGGAAGCACCTGGCTCCTGGCTTCAGATCGGCGCAGCGCGCCGGCCATAATGCGCCAGCCGTAGTGGCCACTTGGGGAGTGAACCAACAGAAAAAGGAAGACCTTTCTCTCTGTCTCTCTCTCTCTCACTGTCTAACTCTGCCTGTCAAAATAAATAAATAAATAAATAAATAACCAACAGAAGTTTACTGGGAGTATTGTTGTAGCTGAGTTCAGGAAGCAGGATTTATAAAACAGTTCAACATTAGGCCAGAAATGCGTCAATAGAATGTTGAAGGACTTTCTGTGGGGTGACCAAGTGAAGTTTCACCAAAGAATGAGTGGCTTTGGAGACTAGACTGTGTAAGAGAGCTTGGGGGAGAATGGGAGAACCTTTAAAGCATCACGAATACCTAATGAAGTTCACTGACAGTTAAGATCTTAAGGAATTTGACCACCCACTCTTGGGACACCAAGCATAGAGAATATAAATGGGAGCTTTATCCTGGAGGGAAAAAGAGAATGTTTGGCAGATCCCAGGGAATTCTGGTTAGTCATTAATTTAATTCTGTTCTCATCAAGTGTCAAAAAAAGGCCAGCTAAGCAACAATTTCAGAAGACTAAGACAATAGCAAGTGCTAAAGTTGTCACTGCCCCCACCAAATGGCTGCAAGGCTGCTCTTCTATAGATGGAAGGGATTCTGCAAAGGTCAGAATGTCACCCATAGGGAAATACCCGCCTGCCACCCAGCCCCGGGTCTCATACACGTTGACCAGTTTGCTGTTAGGAAAAAGTGGGACAGCTGGCTTATGCTGGAAAGCTTCACATGGGAAATGAGGAGGAGAGACAAAAGAAAGTTATGTGCCAGATTGGAAAGGGATTCTTAGAAAATTTGCTTTCACAGTTGTGCATTTGGTGTGTCCTGTTATTTATTCTTAACATATTTGTTAAAACTGTAGTGATTCTGTAATTCTTTCAGTGGAGGAGGTAAGGGAGGGTAACGTGGGTGGGTGTGATAAAGACAGGGAGAAGTGACGCCTGGCTCTGAGAGAAGTGTGCCGAAGCTCCTCTCTCCGGGCCCGCAGGGCCTGAAATGCTCTCCTTTGTTTAGGGACATTAGATTTTTTTGTTTAATTTGATCTTTTATAGTTATATGCTTAAAGGACTGTTTTTTCAGATTTACTAATTTTTCAGATGTATTGTTTTTCTGATTTACCAAATGTATTAAGTCCTGAAATTTCAAAACAGATGTAGCCATAAGTGTTTTGCCAAGTGATGAGGATTGATCAAAACTTGAAGATGTCACTGACATTTTAACAAAATACATGACATGGAGTGAGGGTGGGGCTGAAGAGTAATGCTCAAGAGAGGGACTCGGGGCTCTTTGAGGACTAGCAGCCAAGTTTGTCCAGAGCGTGCTTAACTGATGAGAACCCCCCTGTCTCATCCGGCTTCCCCGTGACTAGTGAGCCTCCCTATTTATGTATCTTGGATGTTCATAAATAAGTTTATGAAATGCGCTGGTTTAGTTTAACCAGGACACATCTGACCTTCTTTTCTTACTTGATTCTTTTGATGTTACCAGCACTTTTTAAAGGGTGAGGAATGGTGCCAAAGTCAAGTAGGGCAAGGTCTGTGCAGACAAGCTGTTTCTGAAAGTATCCGATTGACTTCTGAGACCTGGGGCTCCTGTTCTTCCAGGGAGCCCACAGCACCTGTTAACACCAGCGAACCTCATTGTCCAAGACAGTCTGGTTTTGAACTTTGTTTCACTCAAGTAGCAGCAGCTCTCACACTTCTCACTTGTTTACAGTGGTGTTTTTTTTTTCCCATTTTAAAAAAATTTATTATTATTATTTTTTAAAGATTTATTTATTTGTTTGAAAGGCAGAGTTACAGAGAGGCAGAGGCAGAGAGATCTTCCATCCGCTGGTTCACTCCCCAGATGGCCACAACGGCTGGAACCATGCCGCTCCGAAGCCAGGAGCTGCTTCTGGGTCTCCCATGTGGGTGCAGGGGCCCAAGGACATGGGCCATCTTCCACTGCTTTCCCAGGCTATAGCAGAGAGCTGGATCAGGAGTGGAGCAGCTGGGACTCTAACTGGTACCTGTATGGGATGCCGACACTGCAGGTGGTGGCTTTACCCGCTATACCACAGCGCAGGTCCCTCTTTGTTCCATCTCGACCACCCAGTTATCGCTATTTCAGACTCTTCTATCTTAGAAATGTCAGATTCTAAGTATTCTACTCTTTGAACATAATCTCTGTTCTAGGCCCTCCACTGAGCCAGTGCTGGGAGCACAGTGAAGTCCCCTCAGATCATTTCACTTTCCGTTCACTACCCTCTGTCTTCATGCCCCTTCGGTCCTGCTTAAACTTCATGGGTTATTGTTATATTAAATCCTTGTGAATATCCTTACCTCCCTTTCTTTACCTACATTAATCCTAACTCCTACTCTGGATCTATACCACATGCTAAACATTGCTTGGTGCGGGGTGGGGTGGTGGGGTGGTGGTGACAAAGCATGAGACCCTGAAAGAGAGGTCTGGAATTCACTGTTTCTTCCAGACTACCCTTTCCTTTCCTCATACCTGTCTGTCCTTTCCGTCCTCAGTTAATTATTGCACACCAAACCAAACAGGCACTTTCTGACTGTAGTGTTAAGCCTAATTTATCTGTTTTTCTTTTTGTCTGTTGTGCTTTTGAAGTTGGGTCCAGGAAACCATCTAGTGGTGATCCAAGGATGTGAAGATTTACTCCTGTGCTTTATTTTAGGAGCTTTTTAGTTTTGGTTTGCACATACAGGAAAACGACTCATCTGAGTTAATCTTTAGAGTACAGGTGTTTAGAAGGGGTCTGAAGCATTCTTCTGCATGTGTATTATCTTAGTACCATTTGTTGAAATGATTGTTTCGTTATTGAATGATCATGGTACCTTTGTGAGAAATCAGTTGGCAATAAATGTAAGGGTTTATTTCTGAGCTCTCAGTTCTCATTACACTGATCTATATGTCCATCCTTATGCCAGTACCATGCTGTCTTGATCACTGTAGCTTTAAGAAGTAGTTTTTGAAATTGGGAAGTATGAATTCTCTACCCAGTGATTTTTTTTAACAAAGATTTATTTACCTAATTGAAAGGCAGAGTTACAGAGAGGCAGAGGCAGAGGCAGAGGCAGAGAGAGAGAGAGAGAGAGAGAGAAAGAGAGAAAGAGGTCTTTCACCTGCTGGTTCACTCCCCAAATGGCCACAGCAGCCAGAGCTGGACCTATCTGAAACCAGGAGCCAGCAGCTTCTTCTGCTTCTCCCACGTGAGTGCAGGGGCCCAAGGACTTGGGCCATCTTTTGCTGCTTTACCAGATACACTAGCAGGGAGCTGGATCAGAATTGGAGCAGCTGGAACTCAAAGCGGCACCCGTATAGGAGGGTGGCACTGTAGGTGGCAGCTCTACCTGCTATGCTACAGTGCTGGCCCCTACCCAGTGATTTTTTAGATACATGTGTTGTGTAGTGTGTGTGTGTGTGTGTGTGTGTGTGTGTAAGGCAGGCCAGGGTGCAGGGAGTGAAGGGAAGAGAGATCTGCTGTCCATCGGTTCACTCCTCAAGTGGTCTGGGCCAGGCCAAAGCCAGGTCTCCCATCCAGCAAAGAGCTGGATCAGAAGTGCTGATATGGATGCCAGTGTCACAGGTGGTGGCTTCAGCTGCTACATCACAATGCTAGCCTCAATCCATCCAAATCTTTTGTCCATTTTTATTGGGCTCCTTTTTATTTTTATTTCATTATATTGTGGGTATAATTCCTTTGATAGGTATCTGTATTGCAGTGTCTTCTTTTGCTTACCTTTTAACTCTTTATAGTTTAATGAAAAGAAATTTTAATATCACTGAAGTTACAAGTCTTATCCCTTAATGGATAGTGCTTTTTGTGTTTGGACTAAGACAGCCCTTCCTTCCATGAAGTCATAAAGGTATTTTCTGTATTATTACATTCTTGTACTTCCCCTGTTGTGTTTTTTAATCTGTTGTGAAGACAGCTTTTTGTTGTGGGACAGGTGTCTGATTTCACTGAGTTTCCTGTCCAGCCGCGCAGCCCTGCATTGAGAATGCTAAGCTGCTGTGTGCTCTTATGTTATACCTAAGTGTGCACAAACGCATGGCTTTGTTTTTGGGTGCCAGCATCTGTTCCATGTTGTCTCAACTCCTGTAAATAAGTCTTGATGCATGGCAGACGTTTTTGTTTTTTCTAAGATTGCCTTGCACTCCTGTTTTCACCTATCTGAGAGGCAGAATGACAGAGAAAGTGCTCTTCCATCCACAGATTCACTTCCCAAATGCCCACAACAGCCAAGGCTGTGCCAGGAATTCCATCAGGTTTCCCAGGTGGGTGGAAGGGATCCACGTACTTTGGCTATCACTACTGCCTACCAGGGGGTGCATTAGTGGCAGAATGAATTAGAAATAGAAGTAGATGGGGGACCAGGATGAAGTTCTTGGCTCCTGGCTTTTGGCCTGGTTAGGCTGGGCTATTGCCACCATCTTGTGAGAGTAAACCAGTGGATGGAAGAGGGTGCCTCCCCAGCTCCCCCCCAACTCTGTCCTTCTAATAAGTATCTACATCTTAAAAAAAAAAAAAAAAAAAGAACAGAAACAAAGAAAGAAATGGAAGCAGGACTCATGGGCTTTGATATGGGATGTGGGTATTCCAAGTGGTGGCTTAACCTGCCGTGCCACATCTGTCCCTGCCTTGCATATTCTTGTCCCTTATAATTACATCAAACTACATCACATCAGCTTGTCAGGGGCCACAATTTTTTTTTTTAATTTTTTAGAAGATTTATTTATTTGAAAGAGTTACACAGAGAGAAGAGAGGCAGAGAGAGAGGTCTTCCATCCAATGGTTCACCCCCAATTGGCTGCAATGGCCGGAGCTGTGCTGATCCGAAGCCAGGAGCTTCTTCCGGGTCTCCCGTGTGGGTGCAGGAGCCCAAGGACTTGAGCCATCCTCCACTGCCTTTCCAGGCCATAGCAGAGAGCTGGCTCAGAAGTGGAGCAGCTGGGACTCGAACTGGCGCCCATATGGGATGCTGGTGCTTCAGGCCAGGCATTAACCCTCTGCACACAGTGCCGGCCCCCACAAGTTTTGATTAGTTTTAAATTGTGACTATAGGCGCCAGTGTTGTGGCACAGTGGGATGCTGGGTTGAGTTCTCTTTCACTTTGGATCCTGTTTCCTGCTCCAGCACTTGTGCAGGTGGCAGAAGATGGCTGCAGTATGTGGGCACCTGCCACCCTTGGAAGAGGCCAGATGGAGTTCCTGGTGTCTGGCTTTGGCCCCAGCCTAGCCCTGGCTGTTGCAGCTATTTTGGGAGTGAACCAGTGGATAGAGAATCTCTCTGTCTCTCTCTCTCTTTCAAATAAATAAATAAATAAATAAATTTTAAAAATTGAATCCAAAATTCACTTTGGGAAGAATTAATATCTTCATTAAATTTCAAATCTGTTATCATAACGTGTATCTCAGTTTATTTAGGTCTTCTCAGAAATCTGTATAAAAATGTATTATAATTTTCCTTAAAGAAATCCTGCATGGTTTTTTAAGTTTATTCCAGTATATTTGATATTTTTATGCAATTATACATGGTATTTTGTTTCACTTTTAGCTTTATATTGTTGGAATATAGAAATAGCTTATTATGTATTAATATTATATCGGTCTTTATTGATTCTTTTAATGTATGTATGTATTTTACATTTTCTGCCTATGCAGCCATAGCATTTGCAGGTGACAGGCTGTTCAGATGTTCTGTTTTTTTTTGTGACTCAGGCTTGCTCATGTCTGTATTTCTAAATCTCTTAGCATAAAACTGTTCAGAATACCCTCTTTTACATTTAATGTCTATAGAATTAATTGTTTGTCATTACTAATATTGGTTATTTATGTCTTCTTTCTATTATCTTGATCTTGATAGAGGTTTGCCCCTTTTATCTTTTCAAAGAGTCAAGTTTTGTTGGAGTAGGCATTTGTCTTAGTGATGGAGATGCCAGTTGGGGACCCTGCATCCCATATCTGAGTGCCTGGGTTCCAGTCCCCACTCCTGGTTCCACATTCCTGCTATTCGCACCATGGAGGCACCAGGTGATGAAGCAGTTGGGTCCCTGCCTCCTACATGGAAGACCTGGATTGAATTCCTGGCTCCTGGCTTGGACCTGGTTCACACCAGGGCATTTGGGGAGTACACCAGCTGATGGGAGCTCCCTATGTCTCGGAAATTAAAAAAAAAATTCTGGAGCTGGCACTGTGACATAGTGGGTAAAACCACCACCTGCAGCACCCAGATCCCAAATGAGCACTGTTCAAGTCCCAGCTGCTCCACTTCCAATCCAGATCCCTGCTAATGCACTTGGGAAAGTAGCAGAGGGTGGCCAAGTGCTTGGGCCCCTGCACCCACGTGGGAGATATAGAAGTGTCTGGGTTTGGCCTGGCTCAGCCCTGACTGTTGTGAGCATTTGGAGAGTGAACCAGCAGATGGAAGATCCTTGCCCACGTTCTGTAACTCCGCCTTTCAAATTAAGAAAAAAAAAAAGGGGCTTCTTTGCTCTATTACATGTTTATTGTCTATGTCATTGATGTCTGCACTTACCTTTATTTTTCCTTCTGTTGTTTTGAAATTTTACAATCTTGTTTATTTGATGTTTTTGAAAAGCATGGGGTGTGTGTGTGGGGGGGAGAGATTGATTGATTGATTATCCACTCCTGGTTCACTCCTTAGGTGGCCAAGCCAGGAGCCAGAGCTCCATCTCAGTTTCCCTTGTAGGTGGGTGGGGCCCAGCACTTGGGATGTGCTGCCTTCCCCGGTGGATTTGCCGGGAGATGGATGGGCAGTGGAGCGGCTGGGGACTCAGCACCCACTTCAGTATGGGATGCTGGTGTTGCAGGTGGTGGCTGAGCCTGCTTGACCACAACACTAGCCTCTCTGCCTCTCTTTTTCTAACGCAGGAATTTAAAGCTATACATTTCTGTTTGTATGTTATGTATACCTCAAATTTTGTTATGTTATATTTTCATTGTTTAGCTTAAATGATTTCAGATCTTCATTATAATTTATCTTTGAATTCATATTCTTTTTGACATCCGTTCCCTACCAGGTAGCATTTACATTATGGTTAAAGAGTTTATGGCTTATGTTTGCATTATTTCTGATGTCTACTGCTGCTAACAGTGAATCACTTCATATAGATTGGAGTATTTTCTCTCCTATAATTCTTCAGCAAGTGTGTAGAGAAGAGAATAAAATTGATGCTTTAGTGTTTCTGTGCCCTAAAAAATTTGTTGTGCGTTTCTCAGCTGAATCCACCTGTTGTATTGTAGTTAAGCCTTTCAGCTGATTGACAACACTGGCTCCGTTTTTCTTTGTCATAGCTGTGTTGGCGTAGAAGAGCACCATGCAGTTGACATTGACCTGTATCACTGTCCCAACTGTGCAGTTCTACATGGTTCTTCTTTGAGTAAGTATTAGAAGCTGAAATAAAAACTGATATATTGAACATGTGCGTGGTAGTGCTTTAGTGATGCTGGTTAGTTATATTAGGCAAGATTTTACATGAAGGTAAGTTAAAAGAACAAGGAGAAAAATACTGACATTGTTGATTGCCAGTGTAGAGCCCCCAAACTCATATTTTCAAAGCTTTCTGTTTGACGAGTGAGGTAGATAAAATTTTTCTGATACTGGAGACTGATTTAGACTAATTTTGCAAATAAAAGCTCTATCAGAAGCATTTGGGAACTACACAATAAAAGACTTAACTGTGGGCAGGTGCTGCAGCACAGTGGGCTAAAGCCTCTGCCTGCGATGCCAACATCCCATATGGGCACTGGTTTGTGTCCTGGTGATCCAGCTCTCTGCTATGGCCTGGGAAAGCAGTAGAAGATGGCCCAAGTCCTTGGGCCCCTGCACCCACGTGGGAGACCTCTAAGAAGCTCCTGGCTCCTGGCTTTGATCAGCCAGGCTCCAGCTGTTGCGGCCATCTGGGGAGTGAACCAGCTGATGGAGGACCTTTCTGTCTGTCTCTCTCTGTGTCTGTAACTCTGCCTCTCAAATAAATAAATAAAATCTTAAAAAAAAGACATATGCACATATATCTGTGATTTTTAAGGAGAAGATAAGGGCACTGATAGGCTAAAATATGACTTATATTTTCTGAGTTTGTCATTTCTTTTTAAAGATTCATGTATTTATTTGGAAGAGAGAGTTAGAGAGATGGCTGCAATTCCTGGGGCTGGCAAGCCGAAACCAGGAGCCTATAACTCATCCAGTCATGGTACAGAGGCCTGAAGACTTGGGCCGTCTTCCTCTGCTGTGCCAGGTGCCTTAGCAGGGAGCTGGATTGGAAGTGGAGAGGCTGGGCTTGAACCAGGGCTCTTAGGGGAAGTCAGCATTGCAGGTGGCACTTAAGCCACTGTGCCATGTTGTATTTGACCTGGAGTCCTGTCCAGCTATCCTTTCTGCTTAAATCCTCTCACTTGAGGCCAGGAGACCTTAAAGAAAGAGGTACTGAGGACAGGCCAGACCGAGTCTCTGACCACATTCTTCTCCCTAAGAGGCAGGGAAGCCTTGACATCCTCTGCAGGGTACCAAGACCTCATATCAAACAGCACTGAGTCTTAGCCTCTTGCAGATGCTCCTAGAAGATGAACTGAAACGCTGTCATTGCACAAACATGACAGACAATGATTATAACTATTTCTTTAAAAAAAGTGAGGCTGCAAACTAATTTACAAAATTAAAGGAAAAATTGTAGATTTTGTCATTTTAAAACTAGAAGGAACTTACCTTGAGACTCACTTGAGTTGACTGTAGGCAACCTGTACTATGACTCCTATACTTTATAAAAGTGCTATTTTTCTGGCACTTTTTTAAATACCAATTTTGTTCAGGTGTCATAACATTTTTAAAAAGCAATTAGCAACTGACTACTCATCTGTTTTATTAAAATTTCTTTGTAAGAGGCAAATATTTTATTTGAAATGCATTAAAATGATTTCTTATAAAATACAAGTTGTCTTATTTTGTTTTATAGTATAAAACTTGTGCCTAGCAATTACTAGAATTGTTATATGCTTAATGTACTAGTTAATTGTCATAAACAGTTTTTAAAGGATTTTACTCTGGGTAATGTTGAACTATGTGATATGTAACTTGAAATAATTGTTGACCAAGAGTAATTCTTAGAGAAGAATTTAATATTGTTATCTCAAGGGAAATAGAACTAAAATTTATAACCAATCTATTTTACAGTTTAAGTATATAATTCCAAAATGAGATCATTTGACTTTATGTTTGTGAAATATTGTTGTGTCACTCTGAGGCAGGATAAGGTACTATACTACAAGAGGTACACTGTATTTTCCCTCTATGTTTAATTCTTTAAAACCCTTGCCATCCTCATTGAATTGATTGGATTACACAGCCATAATGGACCATGGTGTGCATTCTGAGTAATGGTGCTTCAGAGAGAAGTTTGCCTGTGACATGGCCCTTTGCATATTTCTCATCAGCCACTGTCTTCTGGGCAAGGGTCCAACTCTGAGGTCTCATACGGAAAATGCCTCAGAACCAGCCATCTGTGTTATCTGGATTGTATGCTCTCTTTCCCCAATTCGGGTCATCCCATTTGATCTCCTTCTTGATGCTTTTAAGCCTCTCTGCTTGTCATACTGAGTTTCCTGTTTCTGTCTGAGTTCCCAGGGGTCCTTCCTATAGATATGATTTAGACAGTATAAAACCACCTAGTGGCCGGCGCCGCGGCTCACTAGGCTAATCCTCCGCCTTGCGGCGCTGGCACACCGGGTTCTAGTCCCAGTTGGGGTGCCGGATTCTGTCCCGGTTGCCCCTCTTTCCAGGCCAGCTCTCTGCTGTGGCCCAGTAGTGCAGTGGAGGATGGCCCAAGTCCTTGGGCCCTGCACCCCATGGGAGACCAGGATAAGCACCTGGCTCCTGCCTTTGGATCAGCACGGTGCGCTGGCCTCAGCGCGCTGGCCGCCGCAGCCATTGGAGAGTGAACCAACGGCAAAGGAAGACCTTTCTCTCTCTGTCTCTCTTACTGTCCACTCTGCCTTAAAAAAAAAAAAAAAAACCACCTAGTAGGGTGAACTTAGATTCTTCCCTCTTGATGGGAATTAAGAGTTCTATTTGAAGGCAAATACCAAAAACAGCCCAATACTTAATATGTTCTCTGTGTTTCTCAGACACATGCAATCCAAGCACAAAATTTTTTCCCTCCTGTGACTGCTGCTAAAATATCCCTTCAGTGGCCCCTTTTCTGATTCAGTGGCCGCTTTTAAGTATGTTGGCCCAACAGGACAATTGTATCCTTTTGTTAACCTCGCACAGATCAGCTTATTGGAAAGGAAAGGATAGAAATTGGCGGCTCACTACATGCCAGGGACTAGAGTGGGTGGGTGCTTAACCTGTGTTTTCTCCTTTGAGATTTATGAAAATGCTGTGTGAGAAATGAGAAGAAATACTTACCTAGCTCTTTCACATGGCTGTTTGGCAGAGCGGAAGTTTGGATTCGGATCTGTCTAATCCCAAAGCCAGTGAGCCTCACTGATTAATCTGTTCTGCAGAAATGAAAATTGAAACAATACAACCATAGTTCACTTATTAAATGGGCAACTTTTGGGGCCTGTGCCGTGGCGTGCTAAGTTAATCCTCTGCCTGTGGCGCTGGTATCCCATATGGGCGTTGGTTCTAGTCCTGGTTGCTTCTCTTCCAGTCCAGCTCTCTGCTGTGGCCCAGGAAGGCAGTGGAGGATGGCCCAAGTGCTTGGGCCCTGCACCTGCATGGGAGACCAGGAGGAAGCACCTGGCTCCTGGTTTCGGATCGGCATAGCACCGGCCGTAGCAGCCATTTGGGGGGTGAACCAACGGAAGGAAGACCTTTCTCTCTGTCTCTCTCTCTCACTATCTGTAACTCTACCTTTAAAATAAATAAATAAAAATCTTTAAAAATAATAAATGGCAACTTTTTTTTTTGATGATGCTCATTGTTAACTCACGGCTTTATCCTGGGCTGCTTATGTAATGCTGGAATGTGAGTCGCTGTCATTTTCTGAAGGCGGTTTTGCAGTATATGTATTTAACATTTTTATTTACTTTATGTATTTGAAAGGCAGAGATACAGAGAAGAGAGACACTCAGAGATCTCTCATCCCCAAATATCCACAACAGCTTGGGCTGGGCCTGGCTGAAGTCAGGAGCCCCAGCTCAGTCTGGGTCTCCCAAGTGAGCGGCCGAGGCTGACCACCTGAGCCAGCCCTCACCTGTTGCCTCTCAGGTTGTACAACAGCAGAAAGCTGGAATGGGAACCAAAACCAGTACCAGATTCCAAGCGTCCAGGATGGGGTGTGGGAGCCCTGAGCTGGGTCTTAACCTCTGTGCCAATGCCTGCCCCTCAGGTAATTTTTAAATGTCCACCTTCCTTCTGGCCTTTCTGGGCTCTATCCTGAGGAATTAATCAGGGAAACAGATTAATGTATATAAACATTAATCTCAGCTTTGTTTAAAGAAAGATTAAGAATGAACTAAGTACTGAAGAATCAAACAATGATTATAGTACATCCGTCTACATCTTAAATTCTAGGTTGTCTTTAAATCACTTTTGAATATTTAGTAAGGATAAAATGCTCATGAACTAGTAGGAAAGGTAAGTAGGATAAACACTGTGATCCCAGTTGAAAATAAATGGAGTTATATGTCGATAGGTAGTAGAAAAACACCTGGAATGAAATATTCTTGAACTTTAGGGGTGATTTCTAAATGTGAGAAACTCACAAATATGCCTTAATAGAATCTCTGAGGAAGATTACTTTGTGATTCTGAATCTGTCTCATGAGATGAAAAAGACCTTCCATATTGAAGATCTGCCTGCCAGAAATTACTTGAGGGTCTTGTTCTAGATTTTTAGATGTGAAGAAGCCTTATTTGCACAATATTGATTTTTATTGTTATTTCTCTATATGCATATGAAAACCCAGTATTAGTATCTTTGTAAGGTGAGAATTTAAAATAAATTAGAATCATTGAGTTGTTTTCTAACATTTTTATTATGAAAATGTTCAAAATTACAGGGAGAACTGAAGCGATTTTACAGTGAGTAGCTGTGAATCTATAGTATCTAGATGCTGCTGTCAACATTTCACTTGCTTTACTGCAGAGTTTGCATGTAGCTTTTTCAGTGCATTTATACGTTGCAGACGTCAGTCTATTTTTCAGAATCATGGAAAATCTCTCTTAAATCACTTGAAAAGTGATTTTCAAGCTTAAAATAGAAATATTTATTTATTTTAAAGATTTTATTTGAGAGGTAGAGTTACAGACAGTGAGAAAGAGAGACAGAAAAGTCCTCCATTTACTAGTTCACTCCCCAAATGGCTGCAATGGCTGGAGCTGCACCGATCTGAAGCCAGGAGCCAGGTGCTTCTTCCTGGTCTCCCACACAGGTGCAGGCCCCAAGGACTTGGGCCATCTTCTACTGCCCTCCTAGGCCATAACAGAGAGCTGGATCAGAAGTGGAGTAGCTGGGACTAGAACTGGCATGCACATGGGATGCCAGCACCGCAGGTGGAGGATTAACCTCCTGTGCCACGGCACCGGCCCCAATAGAAATATCTAAAACTGAAATCTTACTAGCTATTTTGCAATATACAGTTAATTGAAAGAGTAGTTAGACTCTTCCCAGTACAAAGAACTGGTAAATGACTGAGGTGATGATACGTCAGTTACCCTGATTATCAGCGCTGTATGCATGTATTGAAATGTCACACTGTGGCCCGTGCTGTGGCGCAGTGGGTTAAAAGCCCTGGCCTGAAGCACCAGCATCTCATATGGGTGCCGGTTCTAGTCCCGGCTGCTCCTCTTACGATCCAGCTCTCTGCTATGGCCTGGGAAAGCAGTAGAAGATGGCCCAAGTCCTTGGGTCCCTGAACCCATGTGGGAGACCCGGAAGAAGCTCCTGGCTCCTGGCTTCAGATCAGCGCAGCTCCGGCTGTTGCGGCCATCTGGGGAATGAATTATTGGATGGAAGATATCTCTCTCTGTCTCTCTTGGTAACTCTGTCTTTCAAATAAAGAAAATCTTTTTTTAAAAAAAGAAATGGCACACTGTACACTAAAAATATGTCCAACTATTATGTGTTAATTTTAAAAAAATAACTGAGGATCAGGCATTGAGTCCAGCAGAAAAGGTGGCCGTGTCCCATGTCAGTGATCTGGGGTCAGTAGCTGGCTGTGTCTCCTGACTTCACCTGCTAATGCAGACCTTGGGAGGCAGCAGTGATGGTCCCATTTCTGCCCCCCATGCGGGAGACCTGGACTGCTGTCTGGGCTCTGGCCACCACCCGTCTCATCGTGGCCATTGTGGACTGCGGGGTAGAGGTCGTCTCTGGCTCTCATGAAAGTAAACAAAATACAGAATTAACATGAGCACTGCTGCTGCACACATGAGCTGCGGGGGTGCCCCTGCATGGAAGAGGGATGTGCACAGCTTCTCCTTCTTTGTTGAGGGTCTTGAGGCTCTAACCCGCCCCTTGCTCCCCACCTGGGAATCTCAGATGCGCCAGGGAGCTGCCAGGGGCTGCAGAGGCCGTTAGTGCTGGACCAGGAATCGAGTCCGAGCCTCCGGATTTGGATTGCTGTGACCACTCCGGATTATCACCCCCAGAACTGCAGAACCACAGCTTAGTATCAGAACTACCACAGAGCTGATCACTTTACCATCTCACTTGTCTCCTTTAATTGTGACTCAGGCACTTGCTCTTGTGTGTCGAGTACCTGTGCTTATCTGGGGAGCGAACTGTCAGCTGAAAGAGAAGCGCATTGTGCTGTTAAGAGACTCCTGATGCGGGGCAGGAGGCCCTGTGCGGAGAGAATGATTGGATAATCATAACGAAATGTTCTCATGAAAATCATAATTCTAAATTACTTGGAAGTGCTACAGTATGTGTAAATGTGGATGTCACCAAAGACTTCATCTGCTGACTTGAATCTTTTGATGTAATTTAAAAAAAAGATTTATGTATTTATTTGAAAGGCAGAGTTTCAGAGAGGCAGAGCCAGAGAGAGAGGGAGGGAGGGAGAGGGAGGACCTGCATCTGCTGGTTCACTCCCCAGATGGCTGCAAATGCTGGAGCTGTGCTGATCTGACGCCAGGAGCCAGGAGCTTCTTCTAGGTCTCCAATGTGGGTGCAGGGGCCCAAGGACTTGGGCTGTCTTCTACTGCTTTCCTAGGCCACAGCAGAGAGCTGGATCAGAAGTGGAACAGCCAGGACTCAAACTGCCGTCCACATGGGATGCCAGCACTGCAGGCAGCGGCTTTACCCGCTACACCATAGCGCCAGCCCCACTGATGTAATTTCTAAATTATTTTGAAATAAAACGAGGTTTGGAAAACTCAGTTAATTGCCATATTTGCAGCATCACATTAGGTGAAATTTACTTTTGCAGTCTGCAAATGCACTGAAAACTTTAAGTGTTTTTACTGTACTCACAATTATTATTTCTGGTTATGTCGCGTTATTAGGAAATACATGGTATCACCACTTACCAAAAACTATTTTAATTTTCTAAAACTCCAGTGAAGAAGAGGAGGAACTGGCACAGGCACGACTACACAGAAGCTGATGATGGCTCCAAACCCGTGCAGGCTGGAACTCGGACTTTTGTTAGGGAATTGCGTTCTCGAGTCTTCCCAAGGTATGCGTACTTGTTCTGCTCAGACGGTTGAAGAATATTTGTTGGCTGACAGAGGGACTACCCGAAGCAGTATTTTGAAACTCAAGGCTGCATCCCACTATTGTTCTCACTTTTTTTTCCTTAGTGAAAAAGAATAGAAAATGTCAGTGTATTGCAGCTGATGGGAGCCAGTAAGCCCTTTTTCATGGAATGTTTGTGTATGTGCATGCTGGGCCCCCATAAAACATGCTTGACTGTGGGTTCCAGACAGACAGGCTGGAGTCTGTCTGTCGGAGACAGTGGCTCTCAGTGCTGGGTTCATTACGTTACCTGTCTTTCACCTCACCTTCTGTTCAGCGCTGGCTTTTTCTCATGTGTTTTCAAATCTGTCTATGCTAGCTCCACTAGAAACATGCACACAAACACTGCTCAGCCTCTGGTTGCAACAGAACTGATTTTTATTTTTTTAAATAGTGGAATACATTTGAGTTGGCTGTGGCTTAAAGAGAGTCAAAAGCATTATAATACATTTAATCATGCTAATTTAGATCATTTCCTACTCACTGCCTGACATCTATTTAGAGGGATAGTGCTTAATAGGCTTTTACAAAGATCATATCCAGGCTTACTAAAAAGGGGAAACGCAATTCAAATTTAAATCATGGTATCACACCCAGCCTATTATGAAATTATGTAAAATCTGGAAATAAAAAACCCTGCTATTTCTCCTCAATTTTTAGGATTCCTGACTATTCCTCTGCCCCTTATTCCAGAAATAAGAAATAGATAATGATGAACATCTACTGTGGGCTCCCTCAGGTCTGCTGAGAGAAGAAAACATACAAAACACATAGATTTTTATAGTGTTAAAGGCTTTCTTCCCCAGTATTACTGGTTTCAGAACCATGGTTGCTTGTTTGGTATGAGGCCAGGCCCAGAGTTTTCAATCTGGTCTTCAGAGTTCTGTGAGCACCCTACACCTGTATGTGTGGTGTGTTAGCGTGTGTGTGTGTGTGCCCTAGACCTGTATGTGTGGTTAGTGTGTGTGTGTATGCTGTAGACCTGTATGTGTGGTGTGTGTGTGCCCTAGACCTGTATGTGTGGTTAGTGTGTGTGTGTATGCTGTAGACCTGTATGTGTGGTGTGTGTGTGCCCTAGACCTGTATGTGTGGTTAGTGTGTGTGTGTATGCTGTAGACCTGTATGTGTGGTGTGTGTGTGTGCCCTAGATTTCTATGTGTGGTTAGTGTGTGTGTGTATGCTGTAGACCTGTATGTGTGGTGTGTGTGTGTGCCCTAGATTTCTATGTGTGGTTTGTTAGTGTGAATGTGTCCTAGACCTGTATGTGTGGTGTGTTAATGTGAGTGTGTATGCCCTAGACCTGTATGTGTGGTAGGTTTGAGGGTATGCCATAGACCTGTATGTGTGGTGTGTGTATGTGCCTTAGACCTGTATGTGAGGTATGTGTGTACCCTAGACCTGTATGTGTGGTGTGTTAGTGAGTGTGTGCCCTAGATCTCTGTGTGTGGTTAGTTTGAGTGTATGCCCTAGACCTGTATGTGTGGTGTTAGTGTGTGTGTGTGTGAGTGTGTGCCCTAAACCTGTATATGTGGTGTGTTAGTGTATGTGTGTGTGTGTGTGTGCCCTAGACCTGTATGTGTGGTGTTAGTGTGTGTGTGAGTGTGTGCCCTAAACCTGTATGTGTGGTGTGTTAGTGTATGTGTGTGTGTGTGTGTGCCCTAGACCTGTATGTGAGGTATGTGTGTGCCCTAGACCTGTATGTGTGGTGTGTTAGTGAGTGTGTGCCCTAGACCTGTATGTGTGGTGTGTTAGTGAGTGTGTGCCCTAGATCTCTGTGTGTGGTTAGTTTGAATGTATGCCCTAGACCTGTATGTATGTTAGTGAGTGTGTACCCTAGATCTCTGTGTGGTTAGTGTGAGTGTGTGCCCTAGACCTGTATGTGTGGTGTTAGTTTGTATGTCCTAGATCTCTGTGTGTGGTTAGTTTGAGTATATGCCCTAGACCTGTATGTATGTTAGTGAGTGTGTGCCCTAGATCTCTGTGTGGTTAGTGTGAAAGTGTGCCCTAAACCTGTATGTGTGGTGTGTTTGTGTGTGTGCCCTAGACCTGTATGTGTGGTTAGTGTGTGTGCCCTAGACCTGTATGTGTGGTGTGTTAGTGAGTGTGTGCCCTAGATCTCTGTGTGTGGTTAGTTTGAATGTATGCCCTAGACCTGTATGTGTGGTGTTAGTGTGTGTGCCCTAGATCTCTATGTGTGGTTAGTGTGCGTGTGTACCCTAGACCTGTATGTGTGGTGTGTTAATGTGTGTGTGCCCTAGACCTGGTTAGTTTGAGTGTGTGCCTTTTTAAGGGTAAGGAGCCATAGCTTTCATTTTTTTCAGGTAGGCCTGTGACTCAGAAATTAGGGATGGAAACACTGGCCTGTGGATTTTCTGCCGCAGTGAACACAAATGAGAACCACAGATGTTCAAACTAATTACCATTACTGTAGGGTCTTCTGGGATTTGTTGAACTCCAAAGATCTTTACTCATTTAAAATCATAATAGATGATAATAATTACCAAATTATATACTTGATGTGATTAACACAGAAATGTATAAAATACTCATATGATGAGTGCGTTTTCCTCCTCCTCCCCTATTTTGAGATTTTGAGACTCTTTTCTAAATAAATAACATCTGAATCAAAAGTAGGTCAGAAAGTGAAGCTGGATCAAAAGTGAAGCAGCCAGGACTCAAAGTAGAGCCCATGTCGGGTGCCACAATGCTGGCCCCAGCAGCTGTATCATGCAGGCAGCTGGGAGATGGATTCTAGAATAGCCTATTAACCTGGAGTTCTTCGGATGGAAGACTGTGACGGGGATAGGCCACACTCAAGTATAATCCTGGGATCAGTGTTGTAGCATGGCAGGTAAAGCTGTCGCCTGCAGTGGGGCATCCTGGGCCAGTGCTGGTTCTAGTCCCGGCTGCTCCACTTGTGATCCAGCTCCCTGCTATGGCCTGGGAAAAGCAGCAGAAGTTGGCCCAGGTCCTTGGGCCCTTGTAACCCACACGGGAGGCCTAGAAGAACCTCCTGGCTTCTGCCTGGCCCTGCTTGGCTGTTGCGGCCCTCTGGAAAGTGAACCAGTGGATGGAAGATCTCTCTCTCTGTCTTTCCTTCTCTCTAACTTCCAATCAATACATGAATCTTTTTTGTTTTTCAAGTGTAATGCCTGTAACAGACTGGTGGCCAGAGGGAGAATCTGGAGGTGCACCTGGTTACAGCTGGAACAGCTCACTGAGTCCACAGTGTCAGTGAGGGTGTTGGAACGTTGGTTTCTAAGCAGGCACCAGGGATACTTTTTATCCTGCACGATACAGAAAGACAGTTGTTCTGCATTCTGTTGGGGTTTGAAGTATCTGACAGATATTTGTGTAGAGTTGTATTGTCAGCTGAAATCTTTAGTTTTAGTTGTTCCAACACTAGATTTTATTCTAACATACACCTTACCTTTGTTCTTCCAGTTTCCTATGTAGCTTGTATTAAGTGGTTGCTCATCTTTTTTACTTCTCTTAAATCCATTAAATTAAATCCATTCATTATACCTCATTTTTTTTTTACAGATTTATTTTTTTTACTTTGAAAGCCAGAGTTACACACAGAGAGAAGGAGAGGCACAGAGAGAGAGAGAGAGAGGGAGGTTGGTTGGTTGGTTGGTTTTCCATCCACTGGTTCATTCCCCAGTTGGCCACAATGGCCGGAGCTGCGCTGATCCAAAGCCAGGATCCAGTAACTTCTTCCAGGTCTCCTATGCAGGTGCAGGGGCCCAAGGGTTTGGGCATCTTCTACCGCTTTCCCAGGCCATAGCAGAGAGCTGGATTGGAAGTGGAGCAGCCAGGTCTTGAACCTGCACCCATATGGGATGTTGGTACTGCAGGCAGCGGCCTTACCCACTATGCCACAGCGCCAGCCCCTCATTATACCTCATTTTAAACATTGAATTATTTTAGTATATCTTTTATTATAGTGTACCTGAACTTTTTTTCTTTTCCTACATTTAGAGTGTTTTATATATTTTTCCAATTACATGTATTGAATTAAGTAGATCATAATAGCTATGAATTTTACTTTAGGATAGTAGAAACACTTGTTATTAAAAGGAAAATTAGGTATGATAGGCTGAGAGTTATTCATATAGATCATTATAAAGCATTTGAAGGGAGGGTCAAAAAGTTTGTGGCAAATAGCATTAAAAGATTTTTATTTTTGTGTAAAACTTTTGAAATTCATGCATATTTCCATAAAATGCATTTTCCAAGAAGTTTTTGAAGACCTTTTTTGTGAATTAGACCATTACTATAGTATTTTAAAAATGAAACTCTGCCTTTCAAATAATAAATAAGTAACTCTTAAGAAAAGGGGGGGTGTGGGCACTGTGGTACAGTGGGTTAAGCCATAGCTTGGAACACCCGCATCCCACATTGAGTGCCTTCAGGATCAAGTCCTTTCTCTGCTTTCAATCCCTGCAAATGTAGCAGGGTAGCGGCACATGGTGGCCAAGTGCTTGTGTGTCTTCCCCATGTGGGAAACCAGATGGAGCTTGTGGCTTCAGCGTGGCCCAGCCCTGGCTGTTGTGGGTATTTGAGGAGTGAACCAGTGGATGGAAGATTCTTTCTCTGTCTCTCTCTCACACTCTGCCTTTAAAATAAATAATTAGATCTGGCTGGCGCCGCAGCTCACTAGGCTAATCCTCCGCCTAGCGGCACCGGCACACTGGGTTCTAGTCCCGGTTGGGGCGCCGGATTCTGTCCTGGTTGCCCCTCTTCCAGGCCAGCTCTCTGCTGTGGCCAGGGAGTGCAGTGGAGCATGGCCCAGGTGCTTGGGCCCTGCACCCCATGGGAGACCAGGAAAAGCACCTGGCTCCTGGCTCCTGCCATCGGATCAGCGCGGTGTGCCGGCCGCAGCGCGCCGGCCGCAGCGGCCATTGGAGGGTGAACCAATGGCAAAGGAAGACCTTTCTCTCTGTCTCTCTCTCTCACTGTCCACTCTGCCTGTCAAAAAAAAAATAATAATAAAAATAAAAAATAAAAAAAAATTAGATCTTACAAAAAAAAAAAAAAAAAAAAAAAGAGTGGGGCCGGTGCTGTGGTGCAGTGGGTTAAGCCACAACCTTCAGTGCCGGCATCCCATAGGCTTTCAACTCCCAGGTGCTCTACTTCCAGTCCAGCTCCCTGCTAACATGCCTGGGAAAGCAGAAGATTGCTCAAGTCCTTGGGCCCTGCATCCACATGGGAGACCAGGAAGAAGCTCCTGGCTTCAGCCTGGCCAGGCCCGGTCATTGTGGCCACTTTGGGAATGAACCAGCAGATGGAAGATCTCTCTCAGTCTGTCCTTCTCTCTCTGTAACTCTGACTTTCAAATAAATAAACAGATCTTAAAAAAAAATACATAAATAGAGTTCTAGTCTCTTGGCTTTGCCCTGGCCCACCCCTGCCTGTTGTAGTTATTTTAGGAATGATCCAGTGGATGGAAGTGTGCTCTCACTGTCTCTCTCCCTGACTTTCAAATAAAATGAAAAAAAATAAAAAATAAAAAAATTGAACTTATCAACAGAAATGTCTCATTATTCTAATGCTTTCTGTAGTGCCGATGAAGTCATTGTGAAGATGCATGGCAACCAACTGACACAAAGATACCTGGAGAAACATGGATTTGATGTCCCTATTATGGTCCCTAAATTAGATGACCTAGGACTCAGGCTCCCTCCACCTGCTTTTTCTGTGATGGATGTGGAACGTTATGTAGGTACGAACTTGATTCCTTTAAGTACTTAGAAAAGTAAGATGATAATGGTAAAAGTAAAATGATAGTGTCCTAATATTAAAAGTTGAATAAAGAAATGTTAATTTAGTTCAGTTTCTGGAGTCAAGAAAAGTGAAATTCAGTGTCATCCATATTAAAAAATATCTTTTCTCAGCAGACCTGCAACTGTCAGCCACAGGATGAAGCAGTTTGCTTACTCTTACTTACTCAGCCTCATCCCAGAGTTTTCTTTGTATCATCAAATTTTCTGAAACTTGCTTAGGGAAGAGCATTACTGAGGAACAGCTACAGATCCCAGTAAGATCCTGGGAACCTGGATTGATTGTCCACATGTGTGGAATGCTGTGCAAGTTCCCAGAGGCCAGCATGCCACTGGGTCATCATCTCCTGGAACCCACCTTGTGACCTGCTGCCTAGAGGACAGGCGGTAAAAAAGGATGATTTTCCAGGCTGTCTGTAAGACTTGGTGAACATTGCTATTTAAATGATATCTTGATAATTCTGAGGCCCAGAAAGTCATAAGAAACAAGGGGAAAACCTTTATCTTTTCCCATATCGTTGATATTTTTGGTTACTTTATTCATTCTCATATGGCATTTACACAGAAAGCTAACCATATATCCCTATGGAGGTTGCATTTTTTGCTAGCAATAGAGATTATTGATACCTTGACTTGGAATCATATATCCACTACAATACATTGGCTCTTTAGCGTGGAATATCTGAGAATTTGTCTCTTTATTGAGGTGTTGATTGACAGTTCTTATTGATAATTGTTTCAGTAATGAAATCCAGTTCAAGTTATGGCTTCACATTCCATTAAATTTGAATATTTGATAGAGTATGAGGGTGACGATAAACCTGTTTGTGTAGCTAGCACTGATAAATAAATGACTAGTGTAATAGGAAAAGTATAGGAAAAGATGCTCACACTGCTTGATAGCTAACTTTTTTGTTATTTATTATTTTTATTAGCAAAGCAGTTCAGTGAAATATTTGTAACAGAACTGTGTTACTTCCTAAAGAAAAAAGAAGTCTACATGAATACTTATTTTTGTTAAATATTGCCATGTTTTGAATTCCACCTTTTCCTATAATCTGTTGTAAAATTGACTATGCAGTGGCCCACAAGATCACCTCATGGATTGATAGGAAAACTAACTGTACCACAAATCAGGACTTGAGCATTTGTGCACTGGCATTGATTTGAACTTATTCTTGCTTCATACTCACTGATTTTTCTTGACAAAGAATATTAAAAGAAAAAACACCACCAGGAAAACAGAAATTGTCCTGGTTAACTTCCTCATCAATTCTCCAATACCTGATCTGATTTTTGAAACAGTGCACTTAGAATCTGAGGAAGGGAAAAGTCAGTTCTCTGAATTCTTTCAGGAGAAAACTGAAACCCAGAAGGCATCAGCTTGCACACACCAGCACACTGTATCTGCTGTCCTCATGAGCTATGCCCAGAAATCACCGTGCAGGCGTGTAAGCCTTCATGCAGCTCTGTGTCACGGCTTCACTCTCCCTCAAAAGCTGTCCCTTTTTCTCAGGTTCAGTTGGACCTAAACAGTAAGGATATAGAAGTGGGGCCCACGCCGTGGCTCATTTGGTTAATCCTCCGCCTGCGGCACTGGCATCCCATATAGGCGCCGGGTTCTAGTCCTGGTTGCTCCTCTTCCAGTCCAGCTCTCTGCTGTGGCCCAGGAGGGCAGTGGAGAATGGCCCAAGTGCTTGGGCCCTGCACCTGTGTGGGAGACCTGGAAGAGGCACCTGGCTCCTGGCTTTGGCTGCTGGCTTTGGATCGGCGTAGCTCCGGCTGTAGTGGCCATTTAGGGGGTGAACCAACGGAAGGAAGACCTTTCTCTCTGTCTCTCTCTCTCACTGTCTAACCCTATCTGTCAAAATCTTTGTCTAGGCTATGTAGTTTCATAGTTGGGTAAATTATCATACCAAGTAAATAGGGTTTTTAAAATATTTTTATTTAGGGTATCCACTGATACAACTTCTAAGCTCAATAATAAGACTATAACTTTTCTCTGCAGGTGGTGACAAAGTGATAGATGTCATTGATGTGGCAAGGCAGGCAGACAGCAAAATGACACTTCACAATTATGTTAAATACTTCATGAACCCTAACAGACCAAAAGTGTTGAATGTGATCAGCCTTGAATTTTCAGATACAAAGTGAGTAGTTCTGAACATTTTGGTTTAGCATTCTGAGTATTAGCTAAATATGGTTTAATGATATATTCATTTTAGTTAAGAAACATGACTTCTAAAGTTGTTCAGTGATAGCAGTGTTGTAAATTTTGCCTTGGCATGCTCAGAGAATATTAAGAAATGAGATATGTTTTAAACTCAGTAGTGTTACCCTGAATTCTGGGTAATTATTTGGTTTGGGTTGATATGGGAGAAGCCGTTAGAAGAAGTCTTACATTATGTGGGAGTGTGTATATGTATGGTTTGTTTCTTTAAAAGGATGTCTGAATTGGTGGAGGTCCCTGATATAGCCAGAAAACTTTCCTGGGTGGAAAATTATTGGCCAGATGATTCAGTTTTTCCCAAGCCATTTGTTCAGAAATACTGCTTAATGGGAGTTCAAGACAGCTACACAGATTTCCACATCGACTTCGGAGGAACTTCAGTCTGGTACCATGTCCTCTGGGTAAGACTGCAGTGTTTTTGTGTTCTTATTGACAGAAATAAATAGCTGTATTTTCCTAGTAGTACATTCATTTGCTGTAAAAGGCATTTGTAAGGGAGAAGTTTTCTACTTTTTAAGAAGTAGAGGGGCCAGTGCTGTGGCGTAGCAGGTAAAGCTGCTGCCTGCAGTGCCGACATCCCATATGGGCGCTGGTTTGAGTCCCGGCTGCTCCACTTCTGATCCAGCTCTCTGCTGTGGCCTGGGAAAGCAGTGGAAGATGGCCCAAGTCTTTGGACCTTTGCACCCGCATGGGAGACCTGGAGGAAGCTCCTGTCTCCTGGCTTCGGATCAGCACAGTACCGGCTGTCGTGGCTAACTGGGGAGTGAACCAGCGGATGGGAGAACTCTCTCTCTCTGCCTTTCCTTCTATCTTGGGGTAACTCTGACTTCCAAATAAATGAATAAATCTAAAAAAAAAAAAAAAAAAGAAGAAGAAGGAGCTATCACTTTGCCTTTAGCATTAGCATTATTTTTATCCCAGGTAATGAAAGTTCTTCATTTATATTTAGTTCTTTTTTATTCCTTTTTTTCCTCCCATCTAAGTTGGTTTCTTTTAGCCTTGTCTCTTTTTGTTCCTGTAAATCAATTATTCATTGATACATAAATCAAATCCCTAAAAAGGAGAAAAATTACAATGATAATTACTTCTGGCCTTGCAGTTGGGTTATGATAGCTAGTTGGAACATCTTCTGTTGCTTCCCAGACACAGTAACAGGGAGCTGGATGGGAATTAGAGGAGCTGGGACTTGAACTTGGTGCTCAGATATGGGGTGCCAGCATTGCAAACAGCAGCTTAACCTGCTGTACTATGCCAGCCTCTGCAATGCCTTTTCTTTGTGAGGAAGCAAAGAGTTCATGAAAGGAAATTTATTTTTCAGTCTTCAAAAATAATCATTATGGCTTGGGTCCCTGCTAGTCAGGGAGACTTGGATAGAGTTCCTGGCTTCAGGCTTCAGCATAGCGCAGCCCCAGCTGTTTTGGGCATTTGGGGAGCAAAGTGGCAGCAGGAAGATCTCTGTCTCTTTCTGTCACTCGGACTTTCAAATAAATACAAATCAATAAGTAAACTTCAAAAATAATTGTTATGTTATAGATTTTTTGAGAAGATTTATTTATTTATTCAAAAGGCAGAGTTACAGAGAGGCAGAGAGAGAGGTCTTCCATCTGCTGGTTCACTCCCCAAATGGCCACAATGGCCAGAGCTGAGCCAATGGGAAGCCAGGAGCCAGGAGCTTTTTCCAGATCCCCGACATGGATGCAGTGGCCCAAGGATGTGGGCCATCCTCCACTGCTTTCCCAGGCCATAGCAGAGAGCTGGATCGGATGTGGAGCAGCTGGGACTTGAACCCGTGCCCATATGGGATGCCGGCACAGCAGGCGGCGTTTTTACCTGCTACGCCACAGTGCTGGCTCCTATGTTATAGACCCTAGTAGAAAGGACAATGTAATAGAGGTTACTCTATCTTGGGACCTTATACAGAAAGCTGTGGAACATAGAATTAAAAGGTAAGTTTATTTTGAGGTCTATACATAGTCTTCCCACAGTATGCACGTTCCATGACATTTTGAGATACTTCATCTTATTCTGATACCTTGAAAACGTGAGGTCAGTAGGATGTTTGTGGCTCTTAACCTCCTCTCACAGCTCTGTCTTCAGTGTGACGTTACTGACTTCTCATTGGCTGGGCAAGGAGCATTAGCGCTTGTGAAAATTTTTACTGGGGCCGGCACAGAGGCATAGTGGTTAGTGCTGCTGCCTGCTGTGCTGGGATCCCAGGTGGGCACAGGTTCGTTTTCTGGCTGCTCCACTTTCAATCCAGCTCTCTGCTATGGCCTGGAAAGCTGTAGAAGATGGTCCAAGTCCTTGGGCCCCTCTACCCATGTGGGAGACCCGGAAGAATCTCCTGGCTTCGGATCGGCTCAGCTCTGGCCGTTGCGGCCATTTGGGGAGTGAACCAGTGGATGGAAGACGTCTCTCTTTCTCTCTTTCTCTCTCTCTGCCTCTCCTTCTCTCTCTGTGTAACTCTGACTTTCAAATAAATAAATAAATAAATCTTTAAGAAAAAAGAAAATCTTTATTAATGGCAACGCTAAGGTGAGTGACGTAGCACTGTGGGGTAAGCTGCGGCTTGCGATGCCTGCATCATATATCAGAGTGCCGGCTCAACTTCAGCTGCTCTGCTTCAGTCCAGTTTCCTCCTCATGCACCTGAGCGCCCGCAGTTGATGGCTTGAGGACGTGAGTGCCAGTGCGAGTCCTGGCTCCGGGCTTCCGCTTGGCCTCACCCAGCTGTCGCAGTCACTTGAAGAGTAAACTAGAGGATGGAAGATAATCTTTATCTCTTCTCTCTGTCACTCTGCCTTTCAAATAATCAATAAAATTTTTTTTTAAAAAAAGGCAGTAGCTACTGATGAGATGTGCAGATTTTATGAACATAAAAATTTGATAATTGTCTAATTTACTTTGAGAAATTGGATTAATGTTGACCATCTGAAAAATGACTTTTGCTTTTTTAATAATAGTATTCCTTCCTTCCAGGGTGAGAAGATCTTTTATTTGATAAAGCCAACAGATGAAAATCTGGCACTCTATGAATCTTGGAGTTCATCTGTGACCCAGAGTGAGGTGTTCTTTGGAGACAAAGTGGAGAAATGCTACAAGTGTGTGGTGAAGCAGGGACACACCTTATTCGTTCCTACAGGTAAGGCTTCAGTCCTACCCCTGCTCCTTACAGCTGATAGTGAGTCACATGGGCATGACTTTTAATCAGAGCTCTGGCTTTAATGTGCTTGGAAAGTAACTTTATGGCATTTTCTAAGAGTAATTCTTGGACTTTTTACTTTGTTATCCTATAGAGGGTTCCTCTTATAGTTAGGACTTGTTTTGGCATTGTAGTTTATGTCATTTGCCGACATTTTTATTGAGATAAAATTCACATATAATAATATTTGCCCTTTGAAAGTCCCCAGTTCAGTGAATTTTAGTAAAGTAATAAGGCTGTGCAATCAGCACCAGTGTCTAAGTTCAGAATATTTTCATCATCACTCTCCCCTCCTCGGAGCCCTTGACAACCACTAAAATACTTTGTCTATGAATTTGCCCATTGTGGACACTTCATATAAATGGAATCAGACAGTAGGTAACCTTTTGTGTCTGCCTTCTGTCATTTAGCATAATAAATTTGAGGCTCATCTGTGTTGTAGAATATAACAATTCTTCATCTGTTTATGGCCCAAGAATATTCCATTGTAAGATAAACAATATTTTGTTTATTCACTTATCAGCTGATGGAATCTGAATTATTTCCTGTTTTTATCTTCAGTATTGCTGCTCTGAACATATGTGGAGGTAGCTTTGGAGGAGGGTAGAGTATATACCTTGTGCTGGAATTGCTGTATCACGTGGTTTAACTTTGAGAGGAGCTGCTGAACTATTCTCCAAATACCATTTTATGTTCCCATTAGCAATGTTTTGGGTTCTAGCTTATCCATACTCTTGCCAGCATTGTGGCTGTCTCTTATTTTTGCCATTCTACTGGGTGTCAATTGCTACTACATAATTTTTTTAAAAAAATTATTTTATTTTACTTGAAAGTCCGAGTTACACAGGGAGAGGAGAGGCACAGAGAGAGAGAGAGAGGTCTTCCATCCGCTCGTTCACTCCCCAATTGGCTGCAACAGCTGGAGCTGCGCCAATCTGAAGCCAGGAGCCTGGAGCCTCTTCTGGGTCTCCCACTTGAGTACAGGGCCCAAGGACTTGGGCCATCTTCCACTGCTTTCCCAGGCCACAGCAGAGAGCTGGACTGGAATTAGAGTAGCTGGGTCTTGAACTGGCGCCCACATGGGATGCTGGCGCTTCAGACCAGGGCATTAACCCGTTGTGCCACAGTGTCGGCCCCAATACTACATAATTTTTTTTAAAGGGTTTTATTTATAGGAGAGGTAGAGTTACGGACAGGGAGAGACAGAGAGTGTTATCTTCCATCTGCTGGTTCACTCCCCAAATGGCTGCAATGGCCAGAGCTGAGCAGATCTGAAGCCAGGAGCCAGGAGCTTCTTCCAGGTTTCTCATGCAGGTGCAAGGGTGCAAGCACTTGGGCTGTATTCCACTACTTTCCCAGGCCGGTTAGCAGGAAGCTGGATTGGAAGAACAGCAGCTGGGACATGAACTGGCACCCATATGAGATGCCAGTGCCACAGGCCCTACATCATGGTTTTGATTTGTATTTCATTCATCACTAATGATGCATAGTATTTAGTGTTTTTATTGTGCTTATTTGTGTGTCTTTGAAGAAATGCCTTTGGTGGAATCCAAAAACTACTCAGTTTTAAACTGAGTTGTCTTTTTATTGTTGAGTTTTTTTAATATATTTATTTATTTATTATCTTTTTTTTTGACAGGCAGAGTGGACAGTGAGAGAGGTAGAGACAGAGAGAAAGGTCTTCCTTTACCGTTGGTTCACCCTCCAATGGCTGCTGCGGCCGGCACACTGCGCTGATCTGAAGCCAAAAGCCAGGTGCTTCTCCTGGTCTCCCATGCGGGTGCAGGGCCCAAGCACTTGGGTCATCCTCCACTGCACTCCCTGGCCACAGCAGAGAGCTGGTCTGGAAGAGGGGCAACCGGGACAGAATCTGGCGCCCCGACCGGGACTAGAACCCTGTGTGCTGGCGCCGCAGGTGGAGGATTAGCCTATTGAGCCACGGCGCCAGCCTAGATTTATTTATTTATTTGAAAGGCAGAGTTAGAGAGGCAGAGGCAGAGAGAGAGAGAGGTCTTCCATCTGCTGGTTCACTCCTCAAATGGCAGCAACAACTGGAGTTGGGCCTATCCGAAGCCAGGAGCCAGGAGCTTCGTCCAGGTCTCCCATGTGGGTACAGGGGCCCAAGGACTTGGGCCATCTTCTACTGCTTTCCCAGGCCATAGCAGAGAGCTGGATCGGAAGTGGAGGAGCTGGAACTCGAACCAGCGCTGATATGTGATGCTGCCACTGCAGGCAACGGCTTTACCCGCTACGCCACAGTGCCAGTCTCTCTTTACTGTTGAATTTAGAAGCATTATTTTGTATAATAGACCTGTGTCAGATATATGTTACAAATATTTTCTCCCGTTCTGTGGATGATCCTTTTGCTTTTCTTGATAGTATCTCAGTCCATCTTGGTTTGCTAGAATGAAATACCTGAGGGCGGGCATTTATACACAGAAGAGGTTTATTTAGCTCATGGTTCTTGAGATCCAAGAGCATGGCAGTTGCAGCTGCCTGGCATCACAGTGTTGGGTGCGAATGCAGAAGAGGAATCAGGGGAAGTGTTCGGCTCACTTACTAGCCCATTTTCCTGGGAGCTGATTGGGTGTTGTGAGACCTGAGCCACCCTAGAGAGAGAGAGCACCGATCACTTGACTCAGAGTCCCTGTGACTCTGCCTAGTTACCTTCCTCTAGACTCTCTTTTTCCTTTTAAAGATTTCTTTATTCAGAAGACAGAGTTAGAGAGACAGACGGACAGACAGACAGAGTGGTCTTCCATCCACTGGTTTACTCCCCAAATGGTCTCAAGGGCTGGAGCTGAGCTGATCCAAAGCCAGGAGCCAGGAGCTTCCTCCAGGTCTCCCACATGGGTGCAGTGACACAAGGAGTTGGGCCATCTTCCACTGCTTTCCCAAGCCATAGCAGAGATCTGGATCAGAAGTGGAGCAGCTGGGACTCGATCCAGTGCCCATATGGGATGCTGGCACTGCAGATGGTGGTGTTACCTGCTATGCCACAGTGCCAGCCTCTAGACTACCTCAACTCTTCCACACAGAAGACCAAGCCTCCAAAACACGAATTGCTGAGGGACAAACCCTACCCAATGTCCTTTGATGCATGACAGTTTTTAATTTAGGTAAAGGTCCCTTCAATTTTTAACTGGTCAGCTCAGTTAATTGCTGTCAGAGACCAAGCCTGTTGTAAGGTCGTAAGGTTCTGAGCTGCTGACATGGGACAGTTAGAAGGTCACAAGGGACCCCAGGAAGGGGTGAGGATTAGTCTTAGCAGTAGCTTCAAGTATAGGCATCAGCTGTGTCAGGGAATAGCCTCTCCAGACCACTGGATCTGAGGATTGTGTTTGGTGATGTCAGTGGCTGCAGAGGTCACTGGTGTCTGTTACCACAGGCCCTGCTTCCTTACTCTGCCTTGCCTCTGGTGTGCAAAAATGTAATAAACATGTGTTGGATAAATGCCTAGAACTACCAGAATTTGTGCCTAAATATCAGTATTTCCATTTTGAGTGAGCTAAGATTCTTCTTTAAGACCTCTTCCTTATCCTGTTTATAATTTTTGTAACCTCTTAGAAGTCTTAAATTCAGGGGCCAGCGCTGTGGCACAGCAGGTTCAAGCCCCAGCCTGTAGTGCTGGTATCCCATATGGGTGCTGGTTCAAGACCCGGCTGCTCCACTTGAATCTGGCTCTCTGCTGTGGCCTGGGAAAGCAGCAGATGGCCCAAGTCCTTGGGCCCCTGCACTCACGAGAGAGACCCTAAAGAAGCTCCTGGCTCCTGGCTTTGGATCAACTCAGCTCTGGCCATTGCAGCCATTTGGAGAGTGAACCAGCAGATGGAAGACCTCTCTCTCTCTGGTTCTGCCTCTCTCTGTAACTCTTTCAAATGAATAAAATAGATCTTTAAAAAAAAATTCATAAATAGTACAACTACTTACGCAAATAAGTTTTTTAAAAACTCATTTAATGATCTAACTGGAATACACAGAACAATAAAATGTGTGAAGTATTTTTTTAGTTTGTTCCGTGTAGGCACAGCAGCATTAGAAAGCAGCATGCTAGCTGCATGAACCAGAAATGGATGTGTGTGTGCAGTGACAGCTGAGATTCATGGGTAGCACGGTGCAGGGGGTGGGTCTCAAACCTCGTGCAGCATCAGGACCACACAGAGCGACTGCTGGCCACAGGTCGCTGCGCCTCGTCCCTGAGGTTCTGACCGAGTCGATTTGCATAGAGCTGAGAGTTTGTATTTCTAACAAGTTCTGGTGCTGGTGCTCCTGATTTAGCGACCACACTTGGAGAACCCTTGCCGTGGACAAAATGGTTTTTTTCCAAAGAAGTTAGCAACTGACAGACTGCCAAACAAACTAGTTTCCTTCAATTGCAGAGTAGTTGTATTCCTGGAGATTGTATGAAAACCATGCATGATGTAGCGTTTAGATACACCCGGTGGTCCTCTATGGCAGCAGTACTGCCCATGCAGGGCGTTTTGGAAAGCGTGGGAGCTTTGTCACCGCGATCAGGGAGTACTGCTGGCGTTCTGTGCACGTGGCAAGGGGGCTGCAGTTGTGCTCAGATAGGGAGTGGATGTGTCCTGCACCTGGGTGAGTGATGAAGGCTCATTCCTTGTGGATGCACCTGCCCTGCATGTTGCATTTCTAGCACCGGCTCCTGAAATGGGCTCCCTGACCATCCCAGCAATCAAAACAGGCCCGCCTCCAGAAACAACCCTGGAAGGCAGCGTGTTGCTGTTGAGAACCACTCATGATCTGACTTGTAGCGGACAGACTTCCCCAAGTCAAGCACAAGCCCTGCGCCTTTGGGCACACTAATGAGCATGAGTCAGGCTTTTGATGTGTTACAACACAATGAGGGATGAAAAGATGAAAAATATTAAGAAAACAGGACTGGAGCCGGGGCTGTGGCGTGGCAGGTAAAGCCACCACATGTGATACCGGCATCCTGTATGGGCACAGGTAGGAGTCCTGGCTACTCCACTTTTGGTTCAGCTCCTTGCTAGTGTGCCTAAGGAGGGCAGAGGAGGATGGACCAGATGCTTGGGCCCCTGCATCCATGTGGGAGACCCGGAAGAAGCTGCTGGCTCTGGCTTGGCCCAACCCTTACCGTTGTGGCCATTTGGGGAGCGAGCCAGCGAATGGAGGATCTCTCTCTATTCCTTTATTTTAAAAGAGCCAATGTTTTCATGCAGACATGGGTGAATATATTTCTCTGAAGTCTTATGTTGTCAATATTTCTTTCAGAAAAGCTGGGGTTCATCTTTAGGAATGATTCTCACTTTGAAAACACTTGAATAGGAATGCACAATGTAACTTCAGCGGACCCTGACCCTCCATGATAAAATGCAGAGTCAGGTCTCAGGTTGAGTTCCTGGTCCTTGGCCTTAGCTCTTCACAGCGCTCATTTCTCCACGACAGTGGGGAAGACGTGACTTCACACCAGAATCTTTCATGTAAAGTTAAAATGCTGTGTCTCTCAAACTCAGCTCAGAACCTGGCATATAACAGGTACCTAATGTTTAATGGAGTGAATCAGCAGACTGCAGTCAACATTAACTTCTTTGGCTGTTTAGCTTCAGAGTATGAAGTAAACTGATGTTGGTATTTTAAATGGCTACTTCTGAGGTAGATATCACAGTTTTTGGTTTAAATATTGAAAAAAATCACTGATTGATATACTTTTAACCATTTCAGGGTGGATTCATGCTGTGCTCACGTCTCAGGACTGTATGGCTTTTGGGGGGAACTTTCTGCACAACCTTAACATTGGCATGCAGCTCAGGTCTGTGTCATTGCCCATTTTTAAACAGGACATTTCTGTTTCAAACAAGAAGTAAAACCACAGCATACGTGATTTGATATGTGTTTATCAAGGCCCTATCAAGATGGGCCTTGAAAAATGATTAGGAACTTTTTAACTTAAGTGTTACTTAAAAATTTTGTCAGGATATTCACACTGATGTGTTTCAAATATGAAATAAAAATGGTGACTTATTTTGATTGACAAGATCTCTCCAAATTTCAGTCTTCTATAAAAATGTATGTTCTCTGCTTTAGCTATTTTTCAGTGAGGGAAATGAACTAAATCCACTCCAACTTAGGTGAAACATAAGGTGCTGGAGAAAGTAACCCTGAAGTCAGGACTGCTTCAAAACACTTGCTTTAGTTTTGCTGCCGATAAAGGATCAACAGCTATTTCTCCTTCTGTCTGAAAATATGACTTTTCTGTCACTGTTCACCTGATAGTCTAATGAAGCTAGAATGTTAGGAGGTGACATTGTTCATGGTAAACCTGATTCCTGGTTGATAAACTTCATCACCACTGACAGAACTGGAAATTTCTGGTAGCGAGCACTTTCTTTGGGCTTCCTTGAGTCTGTGGTGGCTCTTGAAATTTGGCATGCCCATGAGGAATCCTGGAGCCTGTGTAACACATGAGATGTTAACTACAGTAGGTCTTCGACCCACCAAGTGTGAATCTCACCTCTGTACCTGAGCTGTCTCTGGAGAAGAGGTCACTCCTCTCATGTGGACTGCTACAAGGGCCATGACAGAAGGCTAACACTGTGGCAAGCTATGGTTCCCGTCTTATCACCTTGGCCAGTGCCACATGTGGTCTTGACCTTGAATTCTTTTTTTTTTTTTAACTTTTATTTGATGAATATAGATTTCCAAAGTACAGCTTATGGATTACATTGGCTCCCCCCACCCATGACTTCCCTCCCACCCGCAACCCTCCCCTTTCCTGCTCTCTCTCCCCTTCCATTCATATCAAGATTCATTTTCATTTTTCTATATATACAGAAGATCAGTTTAGCATACATTAAGTAAAGATTTCAACAGTTTGCACCCACATAGAAACACAAAGTGAAAAATACTGTTTGAGTACTCGTTATAGCATTAGATCTCAATGTACAGCACATTAAGGACAGAGATCCTACATGAGGAATAAGTGCACAGTGACTCCTGTTTTTGACTTTACAAATTGACACTCTTGTTTATGGCATCAGTAATCTCCCTATGCTCCAGTCATGAGTTTCCAAGGCTATGGAAGCCTTTTGAGTTCACTGACTCTTATCTTATTTAGACAAGGTCATAGTCAAAGTGGAGGTTCTCTCCTCCCTTCAGAGAAAGGTAACTCCTTCTTTGAAGACCTGTTCTTTCCACTGGGATCTCACTCACAGAGATCTTTCATTTATTGACCTTGAATTCTTAATAGAACCTAATGAAAACTTGCTGGGTGGACATTGCAGTATTGTCAAACATACAGCGTTGTTTTGTTCCTCACAGTGGAACCCTTTTAAAATATCTTTTGATAAAAGTAGGATAAGAATCCCAAGATGTGATCTTTTCTGAAGCTCAATGTAATTCTTAAGTATACTGTCAAATTTACCAGTCACAACCTGGATAAGGTCTTAATTTATTCTTGTCCAAATGTGGTGGTGTTAAGTCATATACAGCACTTGATCAGCTTATGTATATCATGACCTACTTATTTTCAAGTTGGTTACCTTCATTTAACTTCTAAATGCTAATATTAAATGTCTTTACCTTTTATTCATTTAGGTGTTATGAAATGGAGAAAAGGCTAAAAACACCAGATCTTTTCAAATTCCCTTTCTTTGAAGCCATATGTTGGTTCGTAGCCAAAAATTTGTTGGAAACTCTCAAAGGTAATGAATAATTTGCACGTTTTGTTGTATATGGTGCATAATATTTACAAATTCACTAAAAGCCACTTGACAGAAACCCTTTTCTTGTGTGGTATGTGTGTCAGACCTATTTTGTTTTTTAAATACATGATTTCCCCACCAGCAGCATTAGCAAATTCATGTCTCTAGTCCATAGCCTAGCAGTCTGTGTTTTTAAAAATCAGATATATGAACACCTGCATTAGAACAAAACAGAAATCTTGGAATGTTTATTTCACCTAGTGCTCCAGTAGCTTGCACACATTATCAAGCATGTAAAAGTGCCTCACTCTCAAATACACATAGTTTATGTTAAAAGAATACTACCTAGTATGTGTTCACAAACATTTGCTGTAAAAAACGGAGGGAATGATGTTCATGTGCTGAGAGATGCCTGTGCCATCACCTTTCTGACCATCATTCTTGCTATGCAACCATCTGAATGTCAGTTTATGATTCCGTAGTTGAAGAAACATTTTTAAACATCCCTTTATTTAAACTTTTTTTAAAAAGATTTATTCTATTTATTTGAAAGACAGAGTTACAGAGAGAGGTAGAGACAGAGAGGTCTTCCATCCGCTGGTTCACTCCCCAGATGGCTGCAACGGCTGGAGCTGTGCCGACCCAAAGCCAGGAGCCAGGAGCTTCTTCCAGGTCTCCCACGTGGGTGCAGGGCCATCTTCTGCTGCTTTCCCGGGCCACGGCAGAGAGCTGGATTGGAAGAGGAGCAGCCAGGACTAGAACTGGTGCCCACATGGGATGCCAGCACTTCAGGCCAGGGCTTTAACCCGCTGTGCCACAGCGCTGGCCCCAACCTTTATTTAAACTTGAAAGCTATTTTTAGAATGTGCAATTTCAGATTTTGATGGTTTTATATTTTAGTTTAATAATCTTTGAGCAGTCAAGCTGGAGACTGTCGCTTGTGCTCTTCTCTATTTATTGCTTTTTATGCACTTGTACTAGTGAAAATACAGTTTGGTTTTTGAGTTGTCTAGCTTTTCTAGTCAGCTTGCAAATAGTGCTATTATAATAATTAACTGTCAGAAGAACAAATATAAACAGACCAAATGGTAAAGTTTACTTTGAACATTTGTTTCTTTTTTAAAAGATACACAAGAAAAGGTAAAATGAAAAACAACCGAAAATTCATTTCCCAGGATAGCATGTGCAGAACTAAAGTGATAAAATCCAAGTATAGTTTTTCTTCTCCCTAAAACAAAGCAAAACAAAACAAACTAGAGGTGCTGCCTTTCTCTGAGTGGGAGGAGAGGGCCAGGGAGCCCTTACCCTTGCCCTTTGCAGCACAGAGCAGTGGGCGATGTCAGGACAGTGCTGCAGGTGTGTGATGAAGGTGCAATCCGGCGGGTGAGGAGGAAGAACGGCTCCTTTCTCACAGGTTCCAAGCAGCAGCCTCCAGGTTCCTGTCCTGCGGCTGGCCTGGGGAAACTGTCCACCAACACATGAGCACCCCGGGTTGACATGGTTGATATTCAGCTATCTTCATTCTCCTTAATGTGTAAGAGAGGTCCATCAGTTCATCTCTGAGAGACAAAATCTTGCTGTTACTCTTGAAATGACAGCAGTAATTTGCTTACTCTTAAAAATATTTAGTCTTAGCCACTGAAAATTCAGAACATTGAAGTCTGGGAGTAGGCATTGCAGTGGAGCAGGTTAAGCTGCCACTCGGGACGTCCGCATGTCCACCGAGTCCCAGCTACTCTGCTAATACGTCTCCAAAGTTGCTGCATACACGGGTCACCTGGAGGGAGCTCCTGGCTCCTGGCTTCAGCCTGGCCAGCCCTGCTGCTGCAGCCATTGGAGCAGTGAATTAGTTAGTACCTGGAAGACCTTTTTCTCTCTCAAATAAATAATACATCTAAAAATGAGGGCTGACTATAAATAGCACCACATATTAAAGACTTTTAAAAAAGAGATGACTATAAAAGGTATTTGTAGGTTGTTTTAAAATGTTTCATTGTATCAGCCAGGTTAGTTCAGGATACCTGTCAATACTGGTGATTCAGTGCTCTCCCATCAAGGATAAGCCAAGTGACCATAATAGCATTGCCATCACCACAGGCATTCATCTTGGAAACAGCAAGGGTATTCTTACCAACTCACATTATGTTCTCTCATTCCAAACCTTTTGTCCTTCCACTGGCCAGTTATTTCTAACTCTTGTAAGACTTTTTTAAAATTTTTACTGTTTATTTGAAAGGCAGAGCCACAGAGAGAGAAGGGGGGGGGAGGGGGAGGGGGCGGGGGAGAGATAGATAGATATGCCTTCCATACGCTGATTCATTCCCCAAATGACCGCTACGGCTGGAGCTGAGCTGATCCAAAGCCAGGAGCCAGGAGCTTCCTCCAAGTCTCCCATGTGGGTGCAGGGGCCCAAGCACTTAGGCCATCTTCTACTGCTTTCTCAGGGCCTTAGCAGAGAGCTGGATTGGAAGTGGAGCAGCTGCGTCTCGAACTGGTGCCATATGGGATGCCGGCCCTGCAGGTGGAGGCTTTACCTGCTGTGCCATAGCACCAGATCCTCTTGTGAGACTCTTAGAAGACTTATATGAGTTGTTCAGTGAGAGTAGATTGTAGGAAACTCATAACTGTGTTTTATGTCAGTAATGATATGAAGCGTTTTGGATTTATGTAACTAAGTTAACCACTGGGCAGAAGTGAAATCCTTCACTTCTAATTCACCTTATCTGAATTTGGACCACAGCTAATAGATTTTGCTTGGTTTCTTCTAGCTAATCATAATATGATTTAAAACCCAAAAAGGACATTTGTATGTGTTTTAACTTATGCAGTAGTGAAATACGTCATACACATTGATTGTATAGATCACTAATACTGCATGCACACATACTCTTGGATACTTTAAACAATAAGTCCAGGGGCCGCCGCCTACAGTGCCAGCATCCCATATGGGCGCCAGTTTGAGTCCCAGCTGCTGCACTTCTGATCCAGCTCTCTGCTGTGGCCTGGGAAAGGAGTAAGGGATGGCCCAAGTGCTTGGGTCCCTGCACTCGTGTCAGAGACCTGGAAGAAGCTCCTGACTTTGGAGCGGAGCAGCTCTGGCCGTTGTGGCCAGTTGGGGAGTGAAGCAATGGATGGAGGGCCTCTCTCTCTCTCCTTCTCTCTTTCAAATAAATAAATTATTATTATTATTATTATTATTGCAGAATAAGTCTATTACTTATGAACTGCCACCCAAGGCAAGCAAGAACAGCTTTGCTGGGACCTTAACTCTATTACCTTCCTCATTCCAGCCGCTTCCTTTTCTAGAGATCACTGTTCTTTTGTGGTATTTCTTTTTAGTTTACTTTTTCTCCAGTTGTAAAACTTCCTATAAGTAGATTCCTACTAGTCCTCTCTTGTGGCTTATCTTTCCCTCAGAATTGTCTACGACATCACCCATGCTCTGGTGTGCAGCTGCAGTTCTTTTTTTCATTGCTGTACTGTTCTAAGGACATAGCACAATTAATATACCTGTTCTACAGTTGTTGGATATTTGAGGGTTGGGTTCAGGTTTTGGAAAATGTGTCTAAGGCCGGTGCTGCGGCACACTAGGTTAATTAGGCTAATCCTCCTCTGGTGGCGCCAGCACCCCGGGTTCTAGTCCTGGTTGGGGCGTCGGTTCTGTCCCAGTTGCTCCTCTTCCAGTCCAGCTCTCTGCTGTGGCCCAAGTGCTTGGGCCCTGCACCCACACGGGAGACCAGGAGAAGCACCTGGCTCCTGGCTTCGGATCAGCGTGGTGTGCGGCCGCAGCGGCCATTAGAGGGTGAACCAACGGAAAAGGAAGACCATTCTGTCTCTCTCTCTCACTGTCCACTCTGTCAAAAAAAAAAAAAAAAAAAGTTTCTAAGAAGCTGTTGTCTCTGTCACCTAGTGCAAGAATTACTCCAGACAGAGCCAGCGCTGGGTAACAGAATTCAGTAGTTGATTTCAGATTGTTCTCAGCCCCATTGCCATGGCAGTTTTCCAAGGCATTACACTCTACTCAACATATGATACTATTAGGTTTTGATTTTTGCAAATCTAATGGAAATGAAGTAATATTCTCTATGCTTTTAATGTGCATTTCCCCAGTTAATAGAATTGAACATTTTTTTTCCATACATGTATTTATCTTTTGCATTTCCTTTTTACTGAAGCGCCTATTCAGGTCTTTTGCCAGTATTTTAATTGTTTCTTTTTATGCTGATTCATAGGAATTCATTATTATGTTACTTATGCCCTCAACTGTGACTTACCTTTTTATCCTCTTTGTGGTGTCATTGAAGGACAGAAGATCTTAAAATACTTTTTAACAAAATTTTTATGATTAGTGCTTTTGTGCCTTGTTTAAGGCCTTTATTATTCCAAGGTCTTTGTCTTCTAAAGGCTTTTACAGTTTTGTGTTTTGTATTTTTCCTTTAACTCACTTGTAAATTGTGTGTGTGTGTGTGTGTGTGTGTGTAGATAGTAAAAAGGGGGAATATTTTCACTTGGTTTCTTACCACACATGAACACTTGGTTTCTTTACCCCCATGGACCGGCACCATATTCTGAAGAGTCAAGTCGTCTCCTGTGCGTGGTAAATATGGCTCCTCTTCTGTCTCATGTGGAGGCTGGTGCAGGTCCTGTGACCCTCGTGCCGCTGGGCTGGTGGTCCTCTCCACCAAGTGTGCTCTCATGTTCACATTACAATCAGACTTGAGATCTGGTAGTCTCCTCCTTCATTCCTCAGGCATGGGTGCCTGGGCTTTTCTTTTCCTTTCATGTCCGCCTAATTTTTTTTAGCTATTACAAGCTGACACCAACTTCTATTCTTCCAAAAGGCAAGCAAGCAATTGGTGGTTTATTTTATTAGTGGGAGAGAATTTCTGTATGCTGATCCCCCTAAAAGCCCACAAAAGACCAAGGCCAAAGCCAAAAGCCCAGGTATTCAATCTGAATCTCCCAAATGGGTGACAGGAACCAACTCACGGGAGCCATCCCGCCACGGGTGTCCTAACCATGAGGCCAGATACTCCCCCTTTAGTTTAAATAAAGCAGAACAGTCTTTCAATTTGGTGTATTTAATACAATAAAATTTAATGTAGTTCTATTTCTTGTTTTTTCTTGCCATTTGAGTTGTTTTATATTCCACTTTTTCTTTGTTAACTTGGAAGTTACTCACTTTGATACTGGGTGGCAGCTCGAAATGTGCAGGTAATCCCTTTATCTGAACACCTGAACTCTGCTCTGCCTCCCTGCATTCCTACAGAGCTGAGAGAAGATGGTTTCCAGCCGCAGGCTTACTTGGTCCGAGGAGTGAAAGCCCTGCACTCTGCTTTAAAGCTCTGGATGAAGAAGGAAGTAAGTCGTTTTCTGTGCTCAAGGCCTCGTCGTTTGGGGGCAGTCTTCGGTGTTTCGGCAGCACTTGTGAGTGCAGTCGTTGAGGGTATGGAAATCATGCCTAAGTACAGCCTGCGTTTTATACAGCATATACCAGTGATTTCCGCTGCTGTTTACAGGGCTAAAACAGCCAGGTATTCCCTCAACTCTTTCATGTGGAGAAGAAAACCATTCAACTGGATTCAGGATTTTGACTAAAAAATGAACATACAAAGAGTGATTCTAGACAGCATTCAGCTGACAGTGTGCTAACCACTGTGCTTAGTCTTTCTATGAATGATCTCGTCGAATCCTCAAAGCAACTGTATGAGGTCTAGATGCTGTTGGCTCCTTCATTTTACATATGGGAAAACTGAGGTTTAAAGAGTTGTTTTTTTTTTTTTTTTTTTTTTTTTTTTAAGATTTTATTTATTTGAGAGGTAGAGTTACAGACATGCAGACAAGGAAAGACGAAGAGAAAGGTCTTCCATCCACTGGCTCTCTCCCCAAATGGCCACAACAGCCAGACTGAGCCAATCTGAAGCCAGGAGCTTCTTCTGGGTCTCCCATGCCGGTACATGGGCCCCAAGAACTTGGGCTGCCCTCCACTGCTTTTCCAGGCTATAGCACAGAGCTGGATTGGGAGAGCAGCCTGGACACCAACTGGTGCCCATACGGAATGCTGGCAATGCAAGTGGAGGCTTAGCTTACTAAGCCACAGCACTGGGCCCTTAAGAGTTTTTTAAGTAACTTGCTCAAGAGAACTGGAGGAACTAGAACTTAAAGCTAGGTCTCTGGGATTGTAGAGCATATGGTCTTTTGCTGGACTTAGTGGAAATGAAGGAAGGAAGAAGTGCAGGGTTTAAGTATGAACTTTCCATCTTCACTCAAGAGTTGGTTCAGTGCCTGCATTTGAATCCTGCTGCCTCCAGCCACCCCAGTTCTGCACTGGTAGTCAGTGTTTCCTTCCTAGCCATTTCTTGTGCCAGTTTAAAACTGATTGTGACAGTGTGTCCATGTCTCTTTCACGAGGGTTATGAGCCCTTGAAGATACAATATTTTAATAAGTGATAACTGAGTTGATGAAAAAACACTTCCACATTTGTTGAATGTCCACTTGAAATAAAAATTCTGTTCTTAAAAGACAATTGGGAGATAATTAATAATTACCATCCCAATAATTTTATACTTCCTTTCACTTTATTATCATAAACCCACTATTACTACTAGAGGAAGGCACTGAAAACATTCAGGAAAGTAGAAATCATGTCTTCCTCTGTCAAAGACTTCATCCCCTAGATGACAAGGAAAAATATAAAATTTAAAACTAAGAAGACAGAAACAAAATAAAGTATATGTTAAAAAAAAAACTGTAATTTGTTTTCTGCTAAAGGTTAAGTGGTTCTCAGATGTTTATCAGAACTGCCTTTAGAGCTTTTAAAAATATAACCCTTGGATCTTCCAAAAATTCTGATTTAATAGATTTGAGTAGGATCTGAACTTGTGTTTGTAACAAAGTTCACTGGTGATATAGTAATACTTATTTTCAATAGGAAATACTAGCAACACATTATGTTTGAAGTGTACTTTAAAAAGTGTGATGTTCACACTTAATTATCTGTTAAATTTGCTTTAATTGAGATGCATCTCAAGATGGTGGTTAAGAACATGGATTCAGGAGTTAGCGGTTTGGATCAAAACTCAGCTTTGCTACTAATAAACGAGCCTCTGTGCCTCAGTGTCCTCAATTATAAGATGAGGATAACAGGCACAGGTTGAGCATCCAAAACCTGAAACTGAGTGCCATCATGATGCCATAGCTAGAAAATTCTACACCTGACCTCATGGGACGGGTGACAGGCTACAGACACTGTGTGTGTGTGTGTGTGTGTGTGTGTGTGTGTGTATATATATAGGGAGAGGGAGGAGGCCAGTGCTGTGGTGTAGTAGGCTAAGCCTCTGCCTATGGCACTGGTGTCCCATATGGGTACCAGTTTGATTCCTGGCTGCTCTACTTCTGACCCAGCTCCCTGCCTGGGAAAGCAGCAGAAGATGGTCCACGTCCTTGGGTCCCTGCACATACTTGGGAGACCCAGAAGAAGCTCCTGGCTTCAAACTGACCCAGCTCTGGCCGCTGCGGCCATTTGGGAAGCGAACCAGTAGATGGAAGACCTTTCTCTCTGCCTCTCCCTCTCTTAACACCTCCTCTCAATAAATAAATCTTTTTTTAAAAAACTCCTTATGTACTATGAACCAAATGCTAGTCTTAACTTTTTTACTAATTAGTAGTAGTGGTTAGAATTAGACTAGAGTTGGAGGCAAGGTAATTACTCAGTATAAAGCAGAATTCACTGTGAGACAAGTTCATTTTTAATTCTTTCTGAGAGGCCTTTATATTTTAGTTGAGGATCTCCTTAGAAGTATTTTACTGACTGCATGAACTCTGACACCTGGCTATATTCGGCTATGTCTATGTTCTAGTGAATTCAAGAATTGATTTAGTAAATTAGTTTTTACATATTAAAGTATAAGTAACATTGGTTTCTAATCTGTTAATCCATATACAGCTGGTATCTGAACATGCCTTTGAAATTCCAGACAATGTTAGACCTGGACATCTTATTAAAGAACTTTCTAAAGTAATTCGAGCAATAGAGGTAAGAGTGGAAACTATCATTTACATACTTGCTTACTGTCTGCTTTGAGAAGCAAATGGATCTACCACCAAACTACAAACATTTGAAAGTTTTTAACGTTTAGAAGAGACAGAATAAGCCAAATCTTGGATGGACCCTCCAGTTTTCACGCTTCTAACATCTTAGAAATTTAGAATATTGTAATGACATTTTAAGGAAACAGTTCCTTGGTTCTTCAGGTTATGCCAGTTAGTTTCAGAGGTGGACATGTTAAGTGATTAGAGCAAGGGACAAATGGTGAGATGAGTCAGCAAAGGCAGGTGGAACAGAGTTGGAAGGAGGGTGATATTAAAGGGTGGGGGAGTACAGAGACCCCACTGCCTGTGTGTGAAAGCAGTGAAATCTGTGACTGGTGGTTCTAATTCAGCAAATCTCAGGAAGGTGGTTCTGTTAGTGTCTAGCTTGAATTGAGAGGAAATTAACTGAAAAGTGGTCGTTAACTGGTAATTTCAGTTTCTGATAGGACTGAGTTTGAGGAACAGAAAGAGGTGTAAAATCTATGAAAGATGGAAATGGTGGATTTAATATCCATGGGTAGAATAGTTCATGTAATTCTCAATGTGTTCAGATATGGTAAAAACTATTTTGTTTTTCAAAGTGTGATATGCAAATGGATTTAGTATCAAAGGTTATATCTAATGTTAAATATATATGCAAATATTAATATTATATGTATGTAAATCTCATGTATAATAACAACCAAAACCAAGAATAAACTCAGCCAGAAAGCTGTGTCTATATGAAAAACATTGTAAATCTTTACTGAGGGAAAGACAACAGTAGTTGAATAAGTAGGAGTGTCATTTCTGAAAATATGTTAGCTCCAAAATAATACAACACATTAAAGTGGTAAAATACAACTGGAAAAACAACTGAATTGGCCTGGACATCAGCCAGTCTAGGATGGCCCAGGACAAGGGAAGGTTCCATGCTTCTTGTTTATCTGAAATTCAAGTTTAACTGATGTCTTGTACTTTGGCAATTCTGTCCAGAAGGGATGTCTTTAAAGAAAAATATAAAATTAATAGATTACCTAAAGTAATATTTGCATTCTTGTGGTGGAGAATTTGGAAGTCAATTAGTGATAAATACATAGAAAATAAAGCAAATAGGAAGTAGAGCAGTTACGACTCAAGGGTAAGTCAAAAGACAAAGGAAATACAGTGTTACGTGGTCCTGAGTCTGATTTAAATACTGAATGTTGAGGGAAGGGAAATGTGCATACATTTAGGAGAGGTATGTGAGGATAAAAATTACATTTTGTATAGCAGGAATTCAGTAATATTTGAAGCTAAAACCATCTAAATGTGTTATTTAGAAATTTGGAGGCAAATAACTGGGGGGGGGGGGGGGAAGCCAGTTACAAGAGATACAGGTTCTGGTAATATACGCAGAAGAGAAACACGTGCCCATGTTCATAGCAGCATTATCCACAATAGTAGACAGTTGGACCGAGCCACACAAGTGTCCATCGGTAGAAGAATGGATAAAAGCTAGGTAGACACAGGCAATGGGATAGTATTCAGCCATATAAAAGAAGGACATTTTCTGACACATGCCACAGTGCAGATGAACCTTGAAGGTTTCTTGGTAAGTGAAATAACCCAGTCCCAAAAGGACAAATATTACATGATTTCACTTACATCAGGTTCTTCCTAGAGTTGTCAGATTCCTAGAGTGAACAAGTAGCATGATGGTTGTTAGGGAGTGGGAGTTAGGGAATAATGGGAACTTTTTTTCAATAGTAAAGGTTTCAGTTTGGGCTAATGAAAAAGTTCTAGAGATAAACTGTGGTGCTATTTATACAACAGTGTGATTAACTGTACACTTAAAAGTGATTAAAGGGTAAGTCATGTGTGCTGCCACATTATGTATATTACCACAGTTCAAAAAAAAGTTGCAAGTGGTTGCTTTTGGAGAATGGGAATCAGAAATGGGGATGAGTAGAATGCTGCTTTACTTTCCATGATATGCTTATAGACTATTTAGTTTAAAAGCTGCATTAGATGTGTGATTGTGGATTAAAACATGATTTACAATTATGTATGTGGAGAGAAGGTTCATCATAGGAAAGAACTGGAAGCAGCCTAAATAACCACCAGTAACTATTTAGGGGAATAAATTATTACTGTATCTATACAGTGGGAGACTGCACAGCCTTCAGCGTAGTATTGAAGACCAGGAAATTTTCATGATCAATCAGTGGGAAGAAGGGTACAAAGGTCTTGGCAAAGCTGTTAGAGGCTTATGAGTTGGTCTTTTTTTATTTATATGATTAAACGGAATGGTTTTTGTTTTCTAAATATTTTGTGGCTGATTATTTAGTCAGGTATATATGTAGTAGCCTTGTCATAAAAATACTCTGAATTTAATTCTTAAAGGAGGAAAACGGTAAACCAGTTAAATCTCAGGGAATTCCTACTGTGTGTCCAGTTTCAAGATCCTCAAATGAAGCAACTTCTCCTTACCATCCCCGACGAAGGATAAGGAAACTTCGAGATCATAATGTCCGAGCGCCTTCGAACCTGGACATCCTAGAGCTCCACACGAGAGAAGTCCTCAAAAGATTAGAGATGTGTCCATGGGAAGAGGCAAGTCTGACTTTCCATGTTGTCACTGAGAAGTTCAGCTGTCCCCAGTCTGAACCATTCCTGTTCCTTACCCTGCTGTAGAAATGTTGGCACCATCCAGCAGTTACGCCTGTGCCAGGTGGTGGGTCTGATCTTCCTAGGCTAGTGCAGAATCAGGACGGTAGACCTTGTCAGTTTGTCAGTGCTTACGGAGTGTTTTCCAATACCAAGGGCTCCTCTAGGCTCCGGAGAGGACACCAGCGTGAGCATGTGAAGCTTGGGAAGCTCCCACCCCAGTCCAGTCGAGAGGACTGGGGTGGAGGCCAACACTAAACATATTTTCAGGTGACAGGCATTCTGAAGACCCCCGCACAGTGGAGTAACAGGGTAAGAGGACAGCCTCTCAGGTGGCGACGCTGAAGCTGCAGCGCCCTGAGGAGTAGCAGTGCAGGCAAAGGGAAGAGCAAATGCAGTCTCTCCGAGTGGGCGACTGTGGACTGCAGTCTGAGAAGCGCGGACCTACTGAACAGAGTGGGAGGCGGCAGTAAGGTCAGGTAGTGCCTCGGAAATCATGGCAGTGAGTCTGTGGTAACATCTGTGTCACCTGTGGTTTTGTAAGCGGAGGACAGGAAACAGTTTATTATTTGTTTTGATTCTAATTTACTTGAGCGTCTGAGGGAGAACGAGCAAGCCTGTTTGTGTACGGCTGTATACTGGTTCACTCCCCAAAGCCTACAATGGCTGGGGAAGCAGGGGGCAAAGCCAGGAGTCAGGAGCTCAGTCCAGGGGTGCTTCTGTAAGTGGCAGGAGCCCCGCTGCGTGAGTCATCACCCCGGCCTCCCAGGCTCCGCATTAGTAGGAAGCACTGAACCCAGGCCCCAGGGTGGTCGCAGGTGTCTGCACTGCTAGGCCAGCTGCCTGCCCTGGGCTTGGTTTGCATGAGGAAGTCAGGCCTTTCTGAATTAAAGTACTCAAGGGGGTGTAGAAATCCTAATTTTCATAAATACTTTAATTTTAAATTATTGCTTTGTGATGTTCTAAGCCTACTTAAGTCAGCCAGCTGGGAAAGATTTAGCTTATTATACTTATTCTTAAGGAAAAACTGACCAGGAAAAATATATTTTAGGCACTAAAAACCAGCCACTGTCGTCCCTGTCACATGGCAGCCTTTCCTCACGGGGACGATCACACTGCTGACAGTGCGTGGTGGGAAGACGCCATGTGCAGTCCAGCACGGGGTGACGAAGGCCCCGCAGCTGCGCTGGAGAACCTGAGCAGTGCTGCTGCATCCCCCGCTTCCTGCACCAGTGTCCTCGAATGGGCTCCGTGCAGAGTTTACATTAGTTCACAGATGTGTGTCCTGGTAATGGCCCTCCCAAGAGACGTGCCATCGCGTGCTTTGGCGAGAGGAATCCTGGTGTGTCGTACTACCAGGCACTGAGAGGCGGGGGTGGGGGTGGGGGGCCTGGCGGTGTGTGGTATGTTTTCCTTTAGGTATGCAGGTACATTTAGGGGTGGAGATTAAGGAAGTTCTGCTTTTATACTTGAAGGACATCTTGAGCTCTAAACTGAATGGAAAATTCAACAAACATCTCCAGCCATCTTCTACAGTACCTGAATGGAGAGCGAAAGATAATGATCTACGATTATTACTGACAAATGGAAGAATAATTAAGTACGTAAAGTAAACCATAGTATCAACCAGATGAATTTTTAGTGGATTCCCTTTGTTTATTCAATCCCTAGTCCAGATCATTGCACAGCTGACTAAAATACGGAGAAATTATCTCAGTTCTCCGTTTTCTGTAAATTAAGGGGGAAGGGAAAGGCAGCCTGGCTACACAGTCCTGTATTATTTTCTGACTTGATGATTTTCCCCCCACGATACAGAGATGAGAGACAGCCCTTCGCAGATCAGAGTCTTTATACAGCAGATAGTGAAAATGAAGAGGATAAGAGGAGGACAAAAAAGGCAAAAATGAAGCTGGAAGAGTGTTCAGGAACGGAGGGGGTGGAAAACGAGCCTCGGAAACCACTGAACAGTACGTTGGTTATTTAATCCATGTTTCTTCTTTACTCATGATAACATATCAAATAACTGGGCAGTTTTTAAAGTATCAAGTTTGTAGCAGGATTTAACATTTTTACATTTCTAATGATGTTCTGAAAAATCCCACGTCAGGGGTGATGGCCGGGGGACATGTGATGGGGATATTTGGGTCAGCGATAACCCTCATCTGGTTAGAACAGAACAGAAACTCATCCAGGTAGAACGGAAGCCTCTGCTCCTGTTAATAAAAGTTTCAGTGCACTTCAATTTTTCAAGTATGACTTTTTACTAACATGTACAGTTTTCAGAATAAGGGGACCTATAAAATTGACCTGAAGCTATTAGAAATCCATGTACTGTATAGTTTTATTTGACTGCTTATTGATAAGGCCTCTATGGACTATTAGTTTTCTTCAATTAAATTAGAAGCAATAACACAGCAATGCCTCCTCCTTGAGACCTTTATGTCTCAACACTTTTAGGACCTCTGATGCCCTTCTGTTTCAAAAACAAAGCTCGAATGTGGGGCAGGGTTTTGCTCTGCAGTGAAGACAGTGCGTGGGTCCCACAGCCCGTATCAGAGTGCTGGGTTCAAGCCCAGCTTCCTTCTCAAGTGCACCCTGGGGGCGGCAGGTCACAGCCTAAGTAGTTGGGTCCCTGCCACCCACGTGAAGACCTAGATCAAGTTCCTGCCGCCTGGCTTTGGCCTGGTCCATTCCTAGCTGTTTTAGGCATTAGGGAAGTAAAGCAAGAATGGAAAACCTGTCTCTCTGCCACATTTAAAGTGAATATTTTAGTACCTGATAATTAAGTGCTTCGGATACTACTGTTACTTAATCCATGTTGAATACACGCAATTCCAGGTGAAAGCTGATGCTGGCACAACTGGTGACTGCTTCTGCTCCCACGCCAGGAAGGCAGGCAGCTGATCGGCAGCCACCAGTTGCTGCCTGTGGCAGTGTCTCTTGACAGAGAAAGGCAGCGTGCAAGCCCACTTGGTAGCCTTGTTGGATTCACTATGTGAATGCTTTTTAGGCTTAAGAGAGTGGTCTTTTGTTTTCTATTGAGAGAAGTAATGAATGGGAAGAAATGAAAAACATCTTGCAGGTAATCTTAATTTTGGAGGATTTTTTTTTCTAGAAAGAAATGTAAAATGGTCACTTGAGTAAGAAAAATATGTTCAATAAACACTACAATTTTTAAAGAAAAACAGTTTGGGGAGCTGACATTTGGCGTAACAGGTTAAGCTGCTGCCTTCAATGCCAGACATCCCATATGGGCATCAGGTCAAGTCCCAGCTGGTCCACTTCCAATCCAACTCCTTGCTTGTGCACCTGGGAGGGGAGTGGAGGATGGCCCAAGTGCTTGGGCTCCTGCACCAATAGGAGAGACCTGGGAGAGGCTCTTGGCTCCTGGCTTTGGCCTGGCCTAGCCCGGACTGCTGTGGCCATCTGGGGAGTTAACAAGCATGTGAAGGATCTCTCTGTATCTCCCTCTCTGACTCTGTGTTTCAAAAAAAAAAAAAAAAAAAAAATCTTTAAAAAGTACACTGGTTAGTCTGTATATTGGTCAGTTAGGGAGAAAGATTTTGATGGGGACAAAGACATGGAGAAAGTAAAAACAGTGAAAAAAGGATGAGAGTTGAGAAACATAGAACTGGGTAGACTTCGAGACCAACTTGTCACTTTGTTCATAATGTTGTAAAAAACTTACTTATTTGACAAAAGTGTGTGTGAGCCCGAATCAGGCTTTCCCGTGCCGATTTACTCCCCGAAGTCCCGAGACGGCCACGGCTGAATCTGGGAGCTCAGTCCAGGTCGTCCAGGTAGGCGGCAGGAACCTGGGCCATCACTGCTGCCCCCAAGTCCACAACAGCAGAAAGCTGGAAGTCAGGAGTAGACGATTATCAAGCCAGGCACTCTCCTGTGTGACACGGGCGTCTCGGCGCCTTGTTCATGAACTCTAATGACGTTCTCCCTCTCCTGTCCTTCCTCTGCAGGGTTTTTCACAAGTGTGAGATCAGAACTCAGGAACAGATCATCAGAATACTCGGACATTTCTGACTCGGAAGACTCCAGCCCTGACTGCGCTGCACTGGTACGCCTGGAACCCCATCATCTGCACGTCGTTTAATGGGAAGACCACTCATGCATCTGTCACCTGGGAGGAGGCCAGTGACAGCTCTGCTCAGAGCGCACAGCCCAGGATCTCCCTGTCACAGCCCTTGTACACACACCTCCCTGCGACTGTTCACATTTGTAAACCTAGCTTTTGTTTGGTTTTGGAAAGGGTAGGAGGTCCTCTGCTTAATTCTGTTCTTATGTTTCTCTTACTGTTCATCAGTTATTTGTTTATTAAGGGAGTATGTTACTGTAGTTACTAGAGATTTTCACTTTACCATGTGAAATGCAGAAACAACCCCATGATAATTAAGATTCTAACTTTTGGGGCCAGCACTGTGGTGCAGCTGGTTAAACTGCTGCCTGTAACACTGGCGTCCCATATGGGCACCCGTTCCAGTCCCAGCTGATGTGCTTGGGAGAGCAGGGAAGGACCTTGTACTCACACTAGAGACCCAGATGAAGCTTCTGGCCTCAGCCTGGCCCAGCCCAGGCCGATATGGCCATTTGGGGAGTTGAAAGATTCTCTCTCTCCTTTTCAGAAAAAATTCTAACTTTCCTGAGATGGATCAAATTTTTTGATTAGTTTGACCAAATTTGGTCAATTTCTTTATTTCAGAAAAATAATTTTACCACTGAAGAATCTGAAAGTTCAGGTGATGAAAAGAAACAAGAAGTCACATCAGCCTTCAAGGAAGAATCTGATGTGATGAGGCGCTTCCTTCAGAAGAGCCGGCAGCCATCCAGAAGGGAAATTCCAATTAAAAGGTAGGTTGCTGATGGCCGTCGTCACATCGCACTGTGACGTGAACGCTGCGAAGCTTTGTGTTTTAGTTTTACCGAACACTTGGGTTATCTGCTCTGCAGGGAATGTCCTACCTCGACGAGCACAGAGGAAGAAGCTATTCAGGGCATGCTGTCTATGGCAGGGTTGCACTATCCCACATGTTTACAAACGCAAGTGCAAAGCACAGACTGCAGTGGTGGAAGACAGTCTCTCCAGGAGCCCAGCTGCCACAGCAACCAGGAGGTTGGGCAGTCCTGTCGCTACGACAGACCGGTGCAATGTGGTAAGGACATAACTTACCAGTCTTTAAGAAGTAACAGAGTCCCCAACATAATAGCTCTGTAATCCTAGCTTCAGTTGGAGATTGAGAGTCAGGACTGTTTATTGAATGTCTTTTGTTGGAAATGATGTCAAGAAAGTTGATCAAAGAATATAAAATGCTGATTAGTCAAGTGAAATGCAGAATGTCAACTACCTACCATTGAGAATTGTGTTCACGGCGTAATTCTGCCATTGCTCTTACAAACCAGTATTATTTCCCTTTCACCAACAGTTGGCGGGAGTGGAAAGAATGCTTTGGTGTCTCAAACGGTCTGCTAAGTCTGAACAGTCAACCCTTTTCCTTCTTATGAGAGGGTAACGGGTCCTAAACTGTTTCTGATAGAGGATATTCTTTCTTCCACCTGAAAAAGAGTAAGGAGCTCACTGGCAATGTCGGTGATGCCATGTGGTGTTTCTTCTCTGTGACTTTAGGGGAAAAAAGCCTAAGGAGCGTTGGAAGAAAATAGTACCATGTTAACATTGAATGCCTGTGTAACAACTTAGTTCCGTCCACATATTTGTCAGCGTGTATCAGGAGCTTGGCATCCATTTCACTGTGGCGTTCCTGAAACAGCACTTACACCCATGCCTTAGGTAACCACTCCCATTTTAGAGGTCAGCGACACTAGACTTAGTGAAACTTACATGGCCACCACTTAGTGCTGCTGGACTGTGAACCCCGGGCCATCTGGTCCCCACATTCTTACGTATTGTCTAAAGGACACTGCGGCTCAGGATGAGTAACCTGTATGAAGTTGCACTGGTAAGGAAGGAACTTAAGAGTCAAATCCGGGTTTGTCAGCTACACCGTTTTGTCCTCCTGAAATCTCTTTGGTCATTTGTCTCCTGTGGGCAGCAGGAGCCCAAGCTTTTAGGCTGGCGCCTCGGCTCACTAGGATAATCCTCTGCCTGCGGCGCCGGCACCCCGGGTTCTAGCCCCGGTTGGGGCGCCGGATTCTGTCCCGGCTGCTCCTCTTCCAGTCCAGCTCTGCTGTGGCCCAGGAAGGCAGTGGAGGATGGCCCAGGTGCTTGGGCCCTGCACCCGCATGGGAGACCAGGAGGAAGCACCTGGCTCCTGGCTTCGGATGGGCGCGGTGCGCTGGTTGTGGCAGCCATTTGGGGGGGGGTGGTGAACCAACAGAAGGAAGACCTTTCTGTCTCTCTCTGTCAAAAAAAAAAAAAAAAGAAAGAAAGAAAAGAAAGCTTTTATGGGAATACTGCAAAACTGAGGAAATCCCTGCCTGTGTTCTACATAGGAAAACAGGACACTTTTGTAGAGTGCACGACGTTTGACTTTATAACAGGTGGCATACGATTCGATTCTAGATCCTTCAGCACCTCAACAAAACCTGTCACAGAGAAACAGCCTTTGAGGGAATTGAAATCTGGTGGTTCTCTTGTTTTTGTTTTTGAGAAAAAGGATTGTGGTGAAGTTGAGGGTATGTGACTATCTGAATAGTTAATGGTCAGTGTATGTTTTAAATGTCAACATAAATTTGCTTTTGACTTTAAGCATTAGGCTAACTTTATCTTTGAACAAATTTTATTTTAAAGAATAATTTAATGAAAACTTTCCTTTAGGATACCATGTCAAGACTGAAGATCAGGACTTGAGGACTTCTTCCTGGATTAAACAATTTGATACAACTTCCAGATTTAATCCTCAGGTATATTCCAAGTTCAAAATGTTAAAAGAACATTTAGAATTGCCATTAACTCTGTTTTTGCTTCTTTTTAAAAATTATCAACTACTAGATCTAGAAAGCCAAAAAATTACAATTAAATGCACATTTAAACAATTGTTCATCTTTAGATATTCCGCTATGATGACATACACAAGGGTTATGGGTAGAATGTGACCTGAGCAGGACAACTTTTTCTTGGAAGGAAGTAAAATGACTGGCTGATGACACCTGTAGGTTACGTCTGGGTGGTGTGAGATACACAACAGAAAGAATACCTGGAGGATTTCTTTAACTATCTGATGCTATTCTGTAAACATTTTTAGATACTGAATTTTATTGAGAATTTGATGGAAATTCTAGATTCTTTTTCCAGAAAAATGCTCATCATAAGTATGAATTGACTTTTGCTTGCATTTTCCTCATGGTTTGTTCCACTACTTCCTGCCCTCATCCCTCTACTATCCATTGGTTCCATATTAAACACTCTGCTAGAAGAGAAGATACCAGATGTTTTGGATCCCAGCATTTTTATACTACACCAAACCAAAACTACCAGCAGTACCAAAGAAAATTAGAGACTTTTGCTGTAAACTTGAGAAAATGGCAGCCAAAGAAGCAAAATTTTTATGTGCAAAGTGGGGCACAAAAACTTGCCCAAACCCAAGAAAAGTGGTTCATTCCCCCAGTGACCACAACAGCCAGCGCTAGACCAGGGCAAAGCCAGACACTCCATCCTGGCCTCCCTGTGGGCAGCAGGGGCCCAAGACCCTGGGCCATCGGCTGCTGCCTTCCCAGGCGCATTAGGGGAGAGCTGGATTGGAAGCAGAGCAGCCAGGACTCAGACTGGCACTTTGACATGGGCTGCCGGCGTTGCAGGTGACAGCTTAACCTGCTGCACCACAACACTGTCCCCACATTATTTTCTTAAAGCGAAACTTTGTGAGGATAAGTTCTATGAGTAGAAGGTATGCTCTAGCCTCAAAGGTGAAGCCTCAACTTTTATAGGGTCTCATCATAACTGGTCATTAATTTTATCACTTATTGGCATTATAAGATTAAAAAATAATAGCTTAAATACTGAAAGATTTATGTATTTATTTGAGAGTCAGAGTTACACAGAGAGAGGAGAGAGAGAGGTCTTCCATCTGATGGTTTACTCTCCAATTGGCTGCAACGGCTGGAGCTGCGCTGTTCTGAAGCCAGGAGCTTCTTCCAGGTCTCCCACGCGGGTGCAGGGACCCAAGGACTTGGGCCATCTTCTACTGCTTTCCCAGGCCATAGCAGAGAGCTGGATTGGAAGTGAGCAGCCAGGTCTCCAACCGGCGCCCATATGGGATGCCAGCACTTCAAGTCAGGGCATTAAGCGCCGGCCCCTAAGCTATTATTTAAATGTTTTTGTGAAATGGTGTTTTTAAATAAATGAAGCAGAGAGTCAATGATTAGCTAATTAAAACAAAACAAAACAAAACACAATACTAAGCACAGACTTGCTTTTTTTTTTTTTTTTTTTTTGTTACAGGCAGAGTGGACAGTGAGAGAGAGAGAGACAGAAAGGTCTTCCTTTTGCCGTTGGTTCACCCTCCAATGGCCACTGCGGCCGGCGCACCGCGCTGATCTGATGGCAGGAGCCAGGTGTTTCTCCTGGTCTCCCATGGGGTGCAGGGCCCAAGGACCTGGGCCATCCTCCACTGCACTCCCTGGCCACAGCAGAGAGCTGGCCTGGAAGAGGGGCGAGCGGGACTAGAACCCGGTGTGCCAGCGCCGCTAGGTGGAGGATTAGCCTACTGAGCCGCAGCGCTGGTCTAGTATTGTTTTTAAAACTTATTCAGTCATGAGACAGATATAATCACATACACACATAATTAAAACTAGTTTTGAAAAATAAACTGTAGTGTACGCTTCACATGTAGTCTAGTTCCTTCTCTTTTTAATGTTAGTCACGACCCTCTTCGCTGACTTCAAAATTCAATAATCAATAGCACTTTTTCTTCCTGAAGGTTCACCATTGGTCTTAATCATCTGAAAGAGTTATAGTTAAAGAAAAACAAGGCTTGGGGCTGTGGATCTAGAGATTTTTCTTGCAAGCAAATTCGGTGGAATGAACCTTTCCAGAGTTAGGTTCTTTTTTTAAAAAGGATTTATTGGGGCTGGCACTGTGGCATAGCGTTACAGCTGCCGCCAGCATTGCCAGCATCCCATATGGGCACCGGTTTGAGATCCAGCTCTCTGCTGTGGCCTGGGAAAGCAGTAGAAGGTGGCCCAAGTCCTTGGGCCCCTGCAACCACGTGGAAGACCCAGAAGTTGTTCCTGGCTTCAGATCAGCGCTGCTCCTGCCTTTGCAGCCAACTAGGGAGTGAACCAGCAGATGGAAGACCTCTCCTCTCTCTCTGCCTCTTCTTCTCTCACTGTGTAACTCTTTCAAGTAAATAAATCATAAAAAAAAGGATTTATTTATTGGGGCTGGCACTGTGGCATAGTGGGCTGGGCCTCTGCCTGCAGTGCCCGTATCCCATGTGGGCACCAGTTTTAGTCCCAGCTGCTGCTCTTCTGATCCAGCTCTCTGCTGTGGCCTAGGAAAGCAGTAGAAGATGGCCCAAGTGCTTGGGTCCCTGCATCTGCGTGGGAGACCTGGAAGAAGCTCCTGGCTCCTGGCTTTGGATCCGTCCAGCTCCAGCCATTGTGGCTATTTGGGGAGTAAACTAGTGGATGGAAAACCTTTCTATCTTTTCCTCTCTCTCTGTCACTCTACCTCTTAAAAAATTATTTGAAAGGCAGAGTTATATAAAGAGATCTTCCATCCTCTGGTTCTTTCCCCAAATGGCTGCAATGGCTGGATCAGGGCCGATCCATAACTAGAAGCCAGGAGCTTTTCCAGGTCCCCAACACGGGGTAGCAGGGGCCCAAGCACTTGGGCCATCTTCCACTGCTTTCCCATGCACATCAGCAGGGAGCTGGATCAGAAATGGAGCAGGTGGGACCTGAACTGGTGCCCAAATTGGAGGCTGGCACCACAGGCAGCAGCTTTACCCAATAATAATAAAAAAGATAGAACATTACACCATGAGAGGTGGGTGGAGCTTTGGCGTTCTCAGGAAGACAGCAGTAACTGGTGTGTATGTCTCACCTCAGGGCCCCTTCCTAGCACGTCCTGCGGAGTGGAATGGCTGATGGAATGCCTCTGCTTGTTTAAATTATTTTCTCTTTTTCTTCTTAAGTTAGGATGCAGCTTCAGTACCTCAGTCCTTCAGAGCTGTTAGGTTTACGGACACAAATGACCAGCATGGAGAAGTGTCACCTGTGGTTAATACAAAAGAAATCCAAAATTCAGTAGTGTATTTCCTCTCTCTTGACTTTGCTAATGCACAGAGTGCCTAAATACCTCATTTATCTTAAACCCTAAACATTCGACATTTCTTTTCTTCTTCAGGATCTAAGTAGAAGCCAGAAATGCATAAAAAAGGAGGGCTCATCAGAAATCAGTCAGAAGGTACAAAACAGGAATCTCACGGACAGCAGTGGCTCAAGCTTTCAGAATGGAAAGTATATGCAGAATTCGAGTGTGGTTTCAGGGGCGTGCCAGATAAGTAACGGCAGTCTAAGCCCAGAAAGGCCCGTTGGTGAAACTTCCTTTTCAGTGCCCCTTCACCCCACCAAGAGACCTGCATCAAACCCACCCCCTATCAGCAACCAGGCCACAAAAGGTAACTTTCAGACATTTGCAAGTAAATGTATTTTTGATTATGTGTGACAGTAATGGTGGCAGTTTAGCTAGTGATGCACTCATGGTTCTCACCATCCAGCACATCTGGACAACAGAGTGGTGGTGGTGTCAACAGAGGAGGGATGCCCGAGTCAGCCCCGAGGACTCCGAGGGAGATCCTGAAAGAGATAAGGGTTAGCCGGGTGAGGCGGGGGCAGCGTGGCCGGCAGGGAGAGCAGGACTAGGGGACCATGCACGGTCTTTGTGAAGTCGCAGGCGACCTGTGTGCTGAAGCAGAGGGAAGAGTTCAGCAGAGGTCAGACCTGCAGGGCCCTGCCAGTCTCGGGAAGGAGGTGGCCTGCCCCAGGTGTGATGAGGCAGAAGGGTTTTGAACAGCTCAAGTCGGGAACTGTGACTCGGTCCACTCAGCACACCTAGAGAACCCCTGTATAAAGTTCCACCTTCTGCTCGTCCAGGTGCTGTCTGCCAAATATGCCTTTCATGATTATTTACACTGTTGATAATATTTATAGGTAAGCGTCCAAAAAAAGGAATGGCAACAGCCAAACAACGTCTTGGGAAGATCTTGAAGTTGAACAGAAATGGCCATGCACGCTTCTTCGTGTGACGGAGCTGCTGTAGTAGCCATTCTTCCCTTTGGAGGCCAGTCTTGGGGTGCAGAAGCCTGGAGCTCCCGCTGTCCCCTGGCCTGGAGCAGTCTGCGTGTACAGTAAGAATACTGCCCGAGAACAGAGTGAACCTGATGCTGCATTTTCACTGTGCCACACCCACTCAGCAATAACCCTTTGGACCTGGTGGGGGAGAGGATGAAAGAGGGTAGAACCTTAAAAGGAGACCTTGAACTGAAAAGGGTCTCTTGTCAGGGCTTGAATTTCATTTTGTTGTTGGTAGTGTCTTGATTTATTCAGTAGTAGGGTAAAGAATTATCAATAATTTATTTAACAGATTTTTTTTAAAGTTAACAGCTTTTAAATTCTTTCTTTTTTAAAGCTATTTATTTGGAAGATTTCTGGAGAAATATCTCACTAATTTAGATTTAAGAATGTGAAGGTTTTTAAATTATTTTTGATAGTGTGTATGTTACATGTGGGGAAGAGCCACGGTAACAGTAACTAGTCTGGACTCTTAAATTTGATATTCAGGTTAAAGTCTTAAACAGGGATTTGATGCATTAATTATTTTAAATTAAGATGTATATGGAAATCATTTTATTTTATATATTCATGTGTTTTTATAAGCTATCAGCTTCGCTTTTGCTAACATCCAAGGTGCATACCGTTACCCAGGTTGATGACCTTACATCCCACCTTCCCTCTGCACTCCCTCATTTTGTGGTGACCCGACAGTACTCTTCTCTTTGCAGGGAAACTCTTCATAGCCAATATGTAAGAACTCCATGAAAGACCCCTCAGTTTTCATTTTGTTTGAAATTGTGGATTTCTTCTAAATGTAAAGAAAATGGGCTTCTTGCATTTTCATTTCTGCTGATGATATCTAGGTCCCAAAGAGAACAGCTTTAATATCTTTTTCCTACTTGTGGGGAAAGTATTATAAGTTTGGTTAAATTGTCATGTTTATAGTTTTTCCAAATACATTTGTAACTACATAGGGCCTTCTTCATACTGCTGGTGTTGGATGACAATACTGACACCTGCTGCCAAGGTTCTCTCTTATGGCGCTTTTATTCTCTATACTAATTTGGAAACGATGATTTGACTTAGGATGTTCAAATCTGCATAAGAAGCAGTAGTATAATAGACTCATACTATATTAGGTTGTATAGAAGCAAGCATGTTGGGGTAGATCTTTTCTTAACCTTCTAAAGAATTATCTAAGATATGGATTTGGAGTAAAATGGGTGCTTTTTTGTAGTTTCTCCGTCTCTCCTGACTGGCTGAACTTTAAGGTAATCACCTATCTCCTTTATGTACAATTTTTACTGAATGCCAGTTTTCAGTTGCCTGTGCTAGCTTCTATTCCTCTCCCCCCTGCTCTGGCATAAAAATAAGTAATTTCTAGGCATGGGGTAGAAATATTCACAAGCCTGACAATAGAGCATTTTACAAATTCATACAAAGAAAATATAGGCAAATAGGATAAAATTTATTTTTATGGAGAATATGGCCATATTTGTGAATTTCTTTTTTTACTCAGTACAGTAATAGGACTTTCCCTTCTGTATTAGAATGTCACTTGAATTGCTAAGAAAACAATTACACCATCTTCTTTCATGGTTGTTTTCAAATTTATATTTTTAAAAAGCATTATTTCTTACTGTCTCCATTCCAGTACTTCATGGGATAAATATTAAACAGCTTATGAATTGGCCTTTTTGGCCCAGAGTGACTGGACCAAAGTCTGAATCTTATCTGCGTGTTGGGAAGAAGAATTTGTATGGAAATCCTCTATATCTATTTATGGCCTACTTAAACCTTGTCTACACTATGCCAAAACAAGTGGGAAGATGGGTACAGTCAGCCTCTGACTGGTCATCTTACCTCAAGATGCAAAAGTCTGGTTGTTGGCTGCTTCTCCCAGCTTCCTGCACAATCTCCTACTGTGATATCTTGGTTTTCTGTAGACCGTGTTTTAGTGCTACAGTACATGTGCTTTTATTTTATTTTGGTTTAAGAAATAGTAACTATAACTTCCTTTCCCAATTACATCATGGTGTGGATTTTTTCATAGCTCCAAGTATTAAAACATGGTCAGTACCCACCTGTGTCCCTAGGCCAATAAATACTGATTTGGAGTAGCCAGTACATAAAATTTTTAAGTGAAGGTACTGTGGATTCATTTTTGGCAGTTTTAGCCCATTATCTGGCTAAGTTCCAAAACTTTGATCAAGGCAACATAACCACTCTGACAGAAGCACGTATTTCCTTCTGAACTGGTGAGCATTCAGCCACTCTCCTCCTCAGCCTTTAGAAAGTCACTGACTGTGATCCACCCCTTCATCTCCAGGACACGGCTGAACTCTCAGCAAGCTGCTGCCAGTAACCAGGCTCCACAACAGTTGACAACCATTTGTCTTCCTTGTCTCATTTATCAACAGGACTATCATGGAAGACAGCAGTGAGAGCTTTTAGTTATTGAAAGTGAGTACAAATACGTAAACTGAGAATTAGGGCTTAACATATGAAATGTTAGTAATAGTGATAGTAGACAATAATTTTTCTCTGTTGATTCAAATAAGGGATCCTAACCTGGGATCCCTTGTGCCGTAACGTAATTCATAATGTTACATAATAGTAAGCTCTCCAGTGTTGATGACTCAGCTTAATAGTAGTTAAGTGCCCTAGGAATATATTGAACTTCACGAAGGTCATTTTTGAAGTGTAGGAAATTGAAGATTCTGAATGCAACATAAACTCAGAGAATAAGCAGGCCCATCCTTATCAGTAGTGAATACTGAACTTGAATGCTGTTCTGTTCTTTAATCTTAATCACTGCCTTTCCTATGAACTCTACTGTATTTACTCGTCTGAAGTCAGCAGGTACTTAACAAGCATCTACTGTGTGCCAGCACTCCTCAGTACTGCAGGGGATTCACAGTTGCAGTGTAGTCTCTGCTTCTGAAGGGAACTCCTCTAGGAAATCAGCATTATTTTCACTTCAAGCAAACTTGAGCAAGAGGGCCCATTCGTAAAAAGCAGCATAGCTTTATTAGTTTCAACTGAGATACACTACACAGGAATGGAAGTAAAAGAAGTCTGAGTTCTTTTTTAAAATTGAAGAAACCTCTCAAGAGTTAGCAATTCCGTGTCGTGCTGATATAGAAGCGTGCTGCAGCAGGCAACTTGGGTTTCTGTCACGTTCTGCCCTTGGCAGTGACTTCAGTAATTACATCACTTACTGAGTCTTAGTTTTCTTTGTAAGTTTGCATTAAAACATGCTTATTATGATAATTACTTAAGAAAAGCATATAGAAAATCATCCCTTAATTTATTAACATTTCATAGAGAATTTGTCATTATTTAAGTTACAGTTGGTAACTAATGAACGCACCTTTAGATATATTTTAATAGAGGAACTGCCATTATTCATAAAGTCTGCTGCATATCAAATATCTGAAGAATCTCTAACAAGGTGCTGCATTACAATCCGATTCCATGCTTCAAATGAAAGAAAAAGAAGTGAGATCATTTATGGATCAGAGTAAGAATAAGCAGGTTTATCCTCAAATACGTTAAGATGAATTAAAGTAACTGAAAGACAGCTTTAGGTTTTCAGAAAGAGGAACTGGGACAGTAGTGCTCCACAGGTCTGGCATACTCTTCAGGTACCAGATAAGCGTGAAGTCAGTCATGGAATTAAAATGATTGGCAGCAAAGCCATGGAACTAGGGGAAGCTGCAAGGCAGTTAGAAAGCTGGGGACTACAAGGGCTCTGGACTGGTGGCAGCAGCTTGCTGGGGAAGGAGAAAACCACTGGAGTATTGGAGGGAGAGGCTCGACTGAACACCTTCAGCAGGAAGGCTCTTTCTGCTTTTTTGAAAAGATGCTCTCTGTAGTGACTAAGAGTACTCTGCAGAGAGTTGATTAGAATAATTACATGCTCCACCGTGCTGTTATTGAAACAACTATTACAGCAGAGAGCACTCTAAGTTTTCACTTTGAGAGGGCCTTTATAATGTAAATATAAGAAGTGTTAAGAAATTCATTCCCCCTCCCCCCTTATATGTGAAACTAATTGCTCCTGACATAAAGAGAAGCTAAAGCTTACCAGGCTTTTCCTGACGTCCTGGGTCTTGAGAAAATTCACTGTCCGATCTTTAGCCTAGTGAGAGCGTGTCCCTGGTAAATACAGGCCCGTGGATCCCAGGTGATACACAGTGGATCTTGGACTTCCTGAAGCGGCTCCTGTCCCACAACACTGTGGATATGCTTCCTAGGCAGATGGAAACAAAGGGGAGTGATCTGTGTGCTCACTGTGTTGCTGTTGACCATACTGTAGTATTAATACTGTAGCCTTACTGAAAACTCTTCCCTTATTTTAACTTGCTTTTCAGTGAACGTCATGCTGTAACACAAATATTTGATATCCCGTGCATAGACATTTTAAAAAAATAATGTCATTAAGAGGCGAATGCTTATTTCCAAAGCAACTACCTTATCATGCTTGACTTGTTTTATTCTTCTGTAGCATTTTTTTCCCTCTTTAAGATTCTCTTTTGAAATATCCTTAAATTCTCCCTCTTACCCTTGGTTCCCTTCTGCTGCCTAAGGCTTTGTTTTTAACAAGCTCAATTACATTTTTTTGTTAAAACCTTTTTGAAACTATTCAGTAATTCTTCCAACAAATTTATCTGCTCTGCACTATTTCACTAATAAACCCTGGCTACCACGTAGCCCTTGACCTCCAAGTAGTTTACCTATGCAAGACCTATGACATTCTGAATCCATTTTTATTTCACAAGCAGTCATAAGTGGAACTTAGTCAAAGGTGAAACTTATCTTCATCCAGTTTTATTTTGACCATTTCCTTTCCAAAATGTCAGCTGTTTTCCCCCAAGATTTTTCACCAAAACAATGATCATAAGTGCTAGAATTTATGATATTTTACAGAAATGAAATAACTCAGATGTACTCTTATACTTCTTTGATGGGTTTTGGTTGGTAAAAATTACCAGCATTAAATGTAATATATAATGAGGAGTTGATTCCGAACCTAGAATCATTTCTTCCCTCTGAGATTCATAAGGAACCTTTTATTTTTACAAAGCATACATATAACTTCCACATTACAGTCAGGGACCTGAGGTGTTAACTTGCCAAGTGAACCCCAAGGTTATTTTATCTTGCAAAAGAAACCTAAACCAAACTAAGGGCCTTACAGTTTATGGTTAGACTGAATCAAAAGCTTATAACCTCAATTTCTCCAAAAACAGCTCCTGACTGCAAAAGCAAGTCATGCAGTTGTTAGGCGTGAAATAGCACTGAGTGGGAGATGCACATGCGTCTTTGCAGACTGTATTTCCTTCAGAAAAAGACTTTTCTACTTTTAATATAAATTAAGCCATAACAGTTTCATGCTGTGGAAAGAGGGTGAAAAGGTTCATTTTAAGAGATTATATAATATGAATTTTCACATTTACTGTGAAATGTCTAACTTTGCCAGTGCTTCAGCAAGTTTTCTTTTGGGAGGGTGTTGGAGGGTGGTGACAGGGTGGGGTAGTATTGGTTTTAGGGATTTTAAATCTGTGAAATTTAAAGATGGGACAGTTGTTGGCTATGGTATTTACTAGTTTTGTAGTAATGTTTTGCTAGCCTGACTCTCCTTACTGATTCTTCCGCCCACGGCCCGTGGTGAGTGACTGTTCCTCTTCTTGTTTGGGGTGTCTGTTTGCATAGGCAGCGGTGTGTGTGCAGCTGTGGCCTCTGAATCCAGAAGCACACTGTGGCAATGGAACTGGGGTGTGGCTAGGAAGAGGGGTGCTGAAGCTTTAGGAGCATCTTTCTTTCCAACTCCTAACAGTATTTCCCATCTTTTGCCTGCAGGCAGGGAAAGTGTACAGTATTTATTTTGTTTCTGTTTTACTCTAAATTTGTAAGTCTTTAAGTAGCTTACATTGATTATTATAGGGGAGGATGAGTGATCTGTTTAAAGTTGTATTTGGTATTCTTACTTTACAATTTCTGTATTTTAAAATATTGAAATTAAAATTGTATTACTTCTGTTTTGATTTTTTTTAGCACTCGGTGTATTTTTTGCTCATTTTGTTTCAAAGTATAAATGTTGAAAGTTGTATAAAATGTGTCTTTGAAAGAAAAAAAAATCTGAATTCTATATCCAACTCTGACTTGCTGTTCCCTTTTTCTCTTTTGAATCATGGGAGAATTATTTGAGAAAATGAAAATCTGTGTTAAGTTTATGCTCCTTACCATTTTTGAAGCTTTGGATGTGGAAAGTAATGTATGCTATTTTATTAGATGTATTCTTAGGGAAGAGCAGTTGCTGAAAGATTGAATCCAAAAGTGTGGTTGGCAAATTGAGGTGGGGACGGAGAAATGAATGTGGGTGCTTACTGGCACACACTTAAGCTTCCACACTGCCCCCACACCTGGGCATTGCGCCCCCTGCAGTATACCAGGGACGTGCCGAGAACGTGTGTGTGAAGTAAAAGGCAGTCAGAGTTGAAGTGCAAGTTCAGGGAGCAAGAGGAGGTCATTTTGGTCACAGGGTCCGATAGGTCAGGGAGTATACCCGTGAGGATGTGTGCTAGCCTCAGAGGGGTGAGAGCGGAGCCATGGTCCAAGAAGGAGAGAACTGTGGCAGCACTTAGACAGCAGAAGTCCTCCACAGGGGCAGACCGGAAGCAGGCAGGTCCACTGGACAGGAGAACCCGAGTGTGAACTCGTGGAAACCAGACCCACAGAAGTGTCCAAGGAGAAAAGAGCAGGGATCCCTGAGCATGACGTGTGTGCTGGCATGCCCACACCCCCTGCCAGCTGCCACAGCTGCTGTCACCGCATCAGCAAAGCAGTTTGCTCCTTCTTCCAACTGACCTGTCAGTCTTGTGAAGCCAAAATCTGAACAAACCTCCTTTTGTCAAATCCATACATTGTCAATCTGTGAGGTGTGCATTTTTCCTAAAGCCCATCTGTTCACAATGAAACAGCCACCAGAGCCTGCTCTGCTTCGACTTTCAGCCTGATCTCTGTGTGTGCACCAAGCAGCAGACCGCGGGAGACTGGCGTACTTCCTCAGGGCTGTGCTGTGCCACAGAAGCCCTTGTTACCTTTATTTTATTGCACCTGAGTTCCCACTGTGTCCAGGAACGTGTTGACTTCTCCCTCACAGTAGCCCAGGGAGGGACGTGCTGTGTTCTTCATCCTGCAGAGGACACCAGGTCGAGTGGGCAGCGATTCCACGACCAGGCTCACACGACTGGTAAGATGTTAGCTGAGATTTTAATCACAAGTCTAACTCTAAAGGCTATGCCCTTTCTTCTAAATTTCCTCTATTTTTAATTGTTAAGGGAGAACAGGTGGTCCTTTGGAATGGTTTGTGTTCCACAGTTTCTTCAAAGGTACCATCCAGTGGGATCAAAAATATATTCCACACGTTTTCTGTCACTCACACAGAGCCTGCCTGGCTGGGAGCTGTGCACAGTGAGGAAACGCTGGTCGTCTGCAATGCCGAGCTCTCTCTGGTAAAGAACACAAGCAGTCCAGAAGCCAAGTAGGCTTTTCCAGAGACTCAGAACTAGAGGAGGAACAGAGCCCGTGCCCGTCTACTCCACCTAGCCGCGTTCCCCTAGGCCAGCACCACCACATCTGCGTTGGCCAGGCTGCTTCCTCCTCGCCTGCCCTCCCATGTTGACGCTGTCTCCTGCCATTGGTCTCTGCTCGCAGATAAGGAACGAGAAGAGTCCTGCTCTGCTCGCCCTCCTGACCTGAGGCTCCATATTCCAGAGCCTGGTGGAAAACGTCCACCCACATCCTCACCATCAGCCACTTCATTTGCTCCACCTAGCTTGTCTCTTCCGAACTGCTATCCCCAAAATGCCTTTATACTACTTCTGAGTTCTGTAAATTCATGTTCCTTGAATGCTAGAGTTAGAGAAAGAAAAAACAGAGCTTCACAAATGGAATGTATTATGTGTAAATTCCCTAAGTTTTTTTTAAAGGCAAATATAATATGGGCCAAATGATGTGCAGGAAGTCAGAAATGGTATCTGAGCCTGCCTGTGCTATTATTCTGGAAGTTGCTTGACTTCTACTCCCTGGTCTTGAGCAAGTTACATCCTTGGTGTGCCTCAGTTTCCCTTCTGTGAATATATACCTCACTAGGTTAAGGGAATTAAATGAGAACATATGCGCATGAGGCCGGTGCTATGGTTAACGCCCTGGCCTGAAGCACCAGCATCCCATATAGGCACTGGTTTGAGGCCCGGCTGCTCCACTTCCAATCCAGCTCTCTGCTATGGCCTGGGAAAGCAGTAGGAGATGGCCCAGGTCCTTGGGCCCCTGCACCCACAGGGGTGACCTGGAAGAAGCTCCTGGCTCTGGAATGGCGCAGCTCCGGCTGTTGCGGCCAGTTGGGGAGTGAACCAGTGGATGGAAGACCTCTCTCTCTGTTACTCTGACTTTCAAATAAATAAATAAATCTTAAAAACAACAACAACATATGCTCACACAAATAACCTCTGAGGCTCAGCTGTGAGACTGTATGATGCCATCAGAACAGGACCAGTTGCTACCTAATGTACTTACCTAAGTTTCTACTACAAGTGGGGAAAAGATTAAAAGCAGGGTATACACAAGAGGGAGATGGGGACAGCTGCTTTAGGGCAGAGTCCTCCTGGAGTAGGAAGCCAGAGCACGAGCAGGAATCCTAGGATGTGGGTTTGGAAACTCGAGATGTATCATGTTTCTGGAATAATGCTCATCAAGTTCACAGTGGTGATTATCTCGATGAGCACAGGATAGGGAAGATAAGCGAGGGTAGGTACTCGTCCACACTTTTTTTTTTTTTTTATCAGTTTGTAATTTAAGAAAAAAAAAAAAAACCCAGACAAGTATGTTCTACCATAGATAAGGGTTAGCGGCCCAAGATACCCTAATCACACCATCTTGCTCTTCACAGCCCGCCCACTCCTGTGGCTCCTGTGGTGGGTCAGGGCTGATGGATGGGACAGCAGCATGCATGTGGAGCTTTCCCTCGCTTATTTCTGCCTAGCGCCTGCTCCTTTGTGCACTGCTCACTCTGTGCTGCTTGCTTCTCCAGGTTTTGTCTTTCCTGCCAGCCTGAGGCTAGGGCCCTTCAGGACTAGGGCCCTGTGGTATTCCATCACTGAGCGCCTCCTGCAGTTTGGTACAAATCTTACTGAAAATACACTGAATAAACACATAAACAAACTTGGATACTGCTTATTATCCTGATCTCTCCTCCCTCCAATTCTCTCCTGTGCGGCTGGGATGTGGGATGGAGGATGAGGGGTAGAAGAGAGAGAGTCAAAGGAATGCAGAACAGTGGGAAAAGAACCCTTTACAACTTCAGAGTTCCGTTTCAACCCTTCAGAGCCACAGAAACTCACCAGTACAGTGTTAAAAAGAATGGATATTTCAAGCTTCTTAATAAGAAAAAAATGGAGTTTGGTATTTTTTTTCTTTAATGAGATAAATAGTGAGTGGCTAGGTTAAAATTCATATATATTATACATCACTTAGAACCTAAAGCAACATTTTATAGTAACTGCTTTGTAAGCTTTAGTGTATACAGGTGTGTCTTGCTTTTAAAATACAGAATACAGCAATGGTTAATTGTGAAACTGTACATTAATTAGGTGAAATTTAATTACATTTTTCCACCTAAAGATTACACAAAACAGTATTTCAAGAGCTTATGAAGCAAGACTACATGGCTGCTGTTGCTCTGCTTGAATCTGACAGTGTGATGTTGGGGAAAGAACTGTTCAGGGGGTCAGCAGAGCTCACCTTGGAAGACAGATCACACAGACAGCCCTGGGGTGGGCAGGAGTGGAAGAAGCATCTGGGCTATAAAGGTGCCCGGTGAGGGAGACAGGACGGGCAGGAAGCAGAGTGAACAGAGCTTGAGTTCCTACGTTGGTTCCTCCGCTCCAGAGCAGTGCGCCTCACTGGCTGGCTCCATCCAAATGGAGATGCCTTGCACTTCCACATCAGATCCCACATCTCTGCCTTCTTTTCACATTCCAGATGGGCTTCCGTGACTAGGCCAGAATCTGGGGGGTGCTCCCCACCCCCACTAAGGACTCACAAAGTCTGCCAATTCATCCTGATATGCTGCAGGCCACCCTCTTGATTGCCACCACCAACTGTGGCCTCCCTTCAGCTCCCACTGGAGCTTTTAGGATCAAGACCAAACTCCTCAATGTGTATCAGTTTAAGCTGCAAGGGGGAGGAACCCCCACTCAGAAATGTCAAACAAGCTAGGCGGCCAGAGTGGGCATGGACACATGCACCTTTTCTGTCTTGTGGTCTTGGCCTTACAGCTGCTTCCACCTCATGACCCAAGATGGCTGCTTGGATCTGCCAGCCTGCAGCGGGGAGGAGGGTGAGACTATAATCATTTCACTGTATAGCTTCTTTGTTCTAGAAAGGCTTAAAGCCTGCACTTTGGAGGCCACCAGATTTGAGTGGCCACACCTGAGTGACCTTGACAAGTTACTTAATTCCAGTCAACTGAGCCTTGGGCTTTTTTCTAGCTTGAATAGTAATTTCTAAATATAGTTGTTATGAAAGTAATTCAGATAACTCATGTAAAACACGGGTGCCCAATAACTACTATAGTAATTATTGTTGTTACTCTCTTTCAAGACTCTTAATTTCTTCTTTCTTATATCAGAACCACCCTGCGAATGGGGACAAAGTAACCATTACTTTTAATGGTTGTAGCTGGTAGTACAGCATCAACTTTCCTTCCTGAAGCTTTGCTGGACTGTGGTTTATCTGGATAAAGATGTCTGCCTCACCTCCAGGACTGAGTCACCCACTGTGGCTGTTGCTTCACTGTGTCATCGCATGCTTTGTGGAGGGGCTCTTCCTGGGTCTCTGACACTGCTGTTCCCTCGAAGTTGTTCCACTGCCCCAAGCTAACCGTAGCAGAGGGACAAAGTGGCAAGACCACACTGCCCTTTCTACCCACCACCTAGCTTCCCACACTGCCACACACAGGATTAAGCACATGAACAGGCACTAG